TTGAATTTCAATCGTAGCTCCTCTCGTTGAGGAGTTCTCTTCAGGCTTCATCTTCTGTGGCTCTTCCAAGGGGTGTGGACCTCGCATCTCTGGTTGAACTTTGTTGCCATCCTCCAGCACAGACGTCTCGATCCAGTTCTGCACCTGTGCTGTTCTGTCTTCCAGGTCTTCATCCACGGAGTCCTCTTCTTCACACTGTGCCATCTCCAATCTGACACGGGCTAGCTTAGTTTCAGCCTGTGCTTGCTTCAACTCCAGGCGTGCCAACTCTTCCTTTGCTTCTAGCTCGCGTCTTCTGGCCGAGGAACTCGTGGTCTTCGTGGACCTGGCGCGACGACTGACCCCCATCGGTTTCAGGGTCTTGGAGGAGCCTTGAACATCCTTTCCAGGTACATCTTCTTGGCTCTTCCTGGTCATCCTCTGTGCAGCATCTTCTTTGTTGCCTTCCATAGACGCCGCCGTAGTTGCAGTCGTAACCGTAGTCTCCGTCACTGTGGTGCCCTCCGTGGTCGTGGTACCCGAAGAAGTGTTCGATGTAGTTGCAGTTCCCGATGACGCCGACGCTGACGTGACCCCTTCTGATCCCGACGTTCCATCTGTCGCGTCCCTATCTGAAGGACGGGACCCGGGACGTGAGGGGGCATCCTTCTGCGACCTGGTTACCGGCATCTTGAACGCAATCTTCTGTTTCTTCTGAACTTCTTCTAGCAGGGATCCGGCTCGAAGGACCAACTGTTTCGGACGACCAGAACCAGGGTATGTCTAGTACCCGGAGGTCGACCTGGGACAATCTCCCAGACGTTCTTGGCGTACACGGCAGTATGTCCGTTCGCTGGTAATGTACGCCACCACGCACCCCTGAATGCGTAGCTTGGGTCCCGATCCACTAGGGTTTCTTCGTTGACAGGAGACTATACTTAGAGGCGATGAAATAAAACACAATTTTTCCTTTTTTCTCTCTTGGTTTCGGTTCTTCCTTTTCCTTTTAGTTGTTGCCTCTTCGGTGGCTGTCTTGCGACTGACTCGAATCGAGAAATGGCTCGCCTTTTATTTGGCCCGTTAATACCTTACAGAGAGCCACGTACTTTGTGCTCGTTTTTCGAATAAAATTTCCCTAAACCGAAACCTTGAGAGTCCTTTTATTTTATGTTTTCAGTAAAACACCTTACACATATTTATTTATTTACATGCCTTACATACTATTATACAATATTAAAACATAATATTCAATATATAATAATTAATTAAAAAAGTCTTAAAACAAAAATATCTAAATTTCTAGGTTGCTACATTTTTACTATACATTTTCCCTTATAACTTTTGAACGGATAGTCCTATCGACCTAATTCTTGTTTTATTATAAGTTTTATAATAAAATCTATTATTTAAAACATAAACTATTATGCTATTGCAAGAAACAAAAAATCTCATTTTCAAGTTACGTAATTATATGCTAACATTTTACTTACGTACCTATTCCTTTCAAATTAATGTTAAATAGTCTTATATGATTCAAATAAGCAAAAAATACTCTAAACTAACCTTATTACACTAATTAGAACTTATTTTAACATAATAAATCTAATAAGAATGAGATTTCATATTTACAACAATTATTCATAATACGCTAAAATGACATTGTCCCTATATTAATACACACGTTACTCGAAGATAGGTTTTCCGTCGCCGACAATATGAAAGAAAAACTGATAATAATACTATAAATCCTGAAAAAAATTGAATTAAATGTAAAAGTTGATGGGAGTGATGATATTCTTTTTATATCTCCAGTAACTGCGGTTCATAAAATTGATGGAAGTAGTCCCCTATACAATGTATCAGCTAGGAACATGCTAGAACTTGATTTAGAAATACTTGTAGTTTTTGAAGGCATAATAGAATCAACCGGCCAGCCTGTTCAAGCAATATCGAGTTACACTACTCAAGAAATTATTTGGAGTCGCCGTTTTTTCACAATCTACCTTCTATCAAAAGGGAAAACAAGGATTTGTCAAAGACTTTGTTAAATTCCATTAAATATACAATGTAAATACACCTTTATGCAATGCTAGTGATCTTGTTAATTATTACCAAAAAAGAACAACATTATTGATACAAAAATATATTTTAGACTTACGCGATATAATTCCATTATTCCACTCTTCGAGTAAACAATCAAAATTAAAATAATCTGGGTTTTAAATGTGGATGCAATATTAACAACAGTTTTCTGAGTTCCATTATATCGTGATACATTGTTTTCATAGCTGATAACTGCGTTTTTATGTGACATAGTCTTAATTTAATTTCTGTTAATTGTCTAGAACAAGTTTTAATATCTTGATCTAGTTTTAATATTTTTCGATCATTTATGTCTAAATTTTCTTTAAAAAAACATATTATCGTCATTTTGTCACACTTGTATTAAAACTTCTTAGTAAAATATGATTACTACATGTGCACAACATTTTCCTTCTACTGTCGAAAAAAAAATCTAATCTTGATAAATTTCCGTAATCGGACCAATGACTAATGAATAATAAGATAAGAGCTACAACCAAGCTGTAGGTGCGTCTGTCTGTGCTTAAAATTACTAAAATCAAAGATATATTTTTAAACAAAAATTTAAATGTATATATTATTTTATAACTTGTCGACTTTAAACTCTATATATACTTTAAATAGAGATAACATTCGAGCGGACGCTACACTCGGTTCTTCTATCCCAACCTATTAGTCTATACCGATTAAGCCTTTATCGTCGGCACTTTTTCACAATAGTAGGTAAGACACCTTAATATAAACCTAAGAAAAATCTGAATCCGTAACCAGAAGGACACATAATATAGATAGATTCTCTTCGTATAACCGGTCACTAGCTTACTGTACACTTACGTCCGTTAGTCCAAAATCTTATTTACGACAACGTCTAAAATATTTAGACTTTGTTACTGATAGGTTCGTCGAGTAATGGACATGTATATATATATATATATATATGTATATAATATGTATATATAATAAAGATATAAGATAATACATTTATGTACCTATATCATTCATATTTTTTACTATTATAATCTTAGTTAAACAATTTCCTAGAGCGATAAGAGAACGTATGAGATAAAAAAGAAAGTATAATCTAACATATTTTAATTTAAACCTTTTTTGTAATTGTTCAAAAATTAATGAAAGACTTCTGATTTATTTTAAATAAAAAACAATTGATAGTAAGAAGCTACCCTATTGGTAAGTCGCATACTTTAACTCCTCCATAGATATTTAATTTCACCACTTTAACCTGTATATGTTTTTTAATTGGATATTTTATTACAGTTTGGTTTTATATAAACTCTCACTGAGTTCTCTTAAATTGATCAGGCAAATTTATGGAGCCAAATCATACTACGAGCGTAATACAGCAACTAGAGATATCTAATTTCTATTTAAATGAGGTAAATTAATAACACAATTTTAGTCTGCCAATATTTATTAAACTAAATTATTATGTATGTCAAATAATGTATGTAAATGTCTCTCCGTGACCATGATTACTGTAAAGCATTCGAAACGTCGGGAACCAAAAATCAAAATAAATCCGTGAAATAACCCGAATTGATAGTTTTATTTAAAATAAATAATTATAACAAATAATTTTATAAAAATTATTATATTTATATTTTTATTTATTTTAATTTTCCACAGCGGCATAAAACTTTTACTTCAACCGCGCGTAAATATTACACACACTTATTGATATAGAAAAAGTAATCACCTAATGTAAGCCTAAAAGTGGCCGCAAAGGAAAGTAAAGAAGAAAAGAATATAATATTCTACATAATTTGTCAAAAAATAACAACGGTTACCATGGCAACAAACAGTTAATTAACGCGCTTACTCTCTTTCACTTTAATCTATCTTTAACAGCTAGTACCTACATTACCCCTATTTGCGGCCACTTTTACGTAGCAGAGGTATTTTATCATGCACAGAAAAAAAATTGCTTTAATCTATATAAATAAAAATGAATCACCGAAATGTATGTACGTACGCGAATACCTTCGGATCGACTTTTTTAAACCTCATGATATGAAAAGTGAGTGAGTGAAATAGTTTTTATCCCTTATATGGCCAAGAATTATTTATGATCAGCATTGCTTGAAACTTGGGTTAGTATTAATTCTCTTCAATAGAATTAAATAACTACGTTTTTTAGCATTTTTCGAAATTCAATCCCATAAGGGGGTAAAATGGAGGATGAAAGTTTGTATAAAACTGTAATTAATTTGTAAAAAAGTACAAAAAATAAAATTAATCACCTGTAGACGATTTAAGAGTATTAAAATATCTTTCTTTGAAATAGTGTCCACATAGCCTTAAATGTAAAGATTGTGATTTCGCCAATTTTGGTCATCTTATTGCTTTACCCCACAATTTCTGCAGTTTTTATTTTTTGGGAACAAATGATATCCATTTTCTTTGCATCCTGGCACTGCACACTCATTTCAATTAAATTTTAAATAAATGGAAAAAAATCCAAGCACGCTATTTAGTTCTACAATATACTGAGGGCTATAGTGATCGCGATATCTAACGGGAGAAAAGGCAAAATTCTCCCCCATTGCAACAGCAATTATTATTAGTTTATACATATGTGGAATAGTAATGAAATGCTAAATGATTTTTTTCATATTATAGATGTATTTTTATAGTATTACATATTTTAATAAAATATGACATTATGTTCATTAATCTACTAAAAATGGGAAAATAACTTAGATTATCTACATTATGCAATCATAGACATAGAGTTTGTAGTAGACTTATCGATGGTACAAAAACTAGTGTAAAAAATCAAGATGACATTCAATTTGACCAATTGAAGACAAAATTTATAAAATTGACAAAGTGAGCTGTCATTTTCTGTCCATCGAAGAATCATCAATACGAATTTCTAAAACAAAACTTTGTTTTGCTGTGAACGTTCATAAATAGGAAAAATGTTTCGAGCTAATAATTTTGACAAATTATTAGGTAAGCATTTTGAAATATCATAACATTGTGGAGTACTGTTCAGGTTTTGTTGTGTTATGTTCTGTTGTAAAATTATTCGATGATCGTTTTACGTTAATTTGCATCACTTTCTTTTTAGTTCTTCACGTATTTCAATAAGTACTTTGCTCCTATTAATTAATAGTGTATTACGTATTTTCTAAACGTTTTCAATCACAAAAGAAATGATGAAACAATTTCTAATTTGTTCTAGATAAAGCGACAAGTAATCTACGTCTGGATCCTGATTGGCCCTCGATCCTACAAATTTGTGATTTAATTAGACAAAATGATTGTTCGTGAGTAACATTTCCACCTTTGTTGATCATTGTTTTTAATTTTCTAATAAGATGTAGTTATGTTATTAAAAGATGTATTAAAGTTATTCCAATGTCATATTAGTGAACTTCTTATACTTTTAGACCCAAGTATGCCGTTGCTGCTGTGAAAAAAAAACTTTACTCACAAAATCCCCATCAGGCTATGTTTGCTCTCCTTACTTTAGAAAGTATTGTTAAAAATTGTGGTATGTATTTTTGTTTTTTTTTTTCATATTCATAGTATTTTATTTATAAGGTAAAAATAATAAATATTCTCTCATTGTACATTCCGCAATAGAATCAAAATATTATTTACATCTATACTAAAATTAAATATCCTCAAAACAAAAGTGAGGCACATAGTTTAGTACAGCCATGGTACTACATATATCGAATTTAATATTATGATTTCAATAGAGTTTTATATCTATATAATTTAAGTAGCATTTGTCAATGTTAAACTTCCATCTTAATATATATACTTAAAATTAAACATGACTAATAAATTATAACCATAAACAATAACATAACAACTTTTACAGGTTCTGGGGTTCATGATGAAGTTGCATCTAAGGTGTTTTGTGAAATGCTCCGTGATTTAGTAAAATCAACACAACATGAGAACTTAAAAAGCAAAATATTAGAATTAATACAAGCTTGGGGTTTCGCTTTTCGTAATAATCCCAAATACAGAGCAGTTCAGGTTTGTGCTTTATACCAAATTAAATACAACTTTTATCTTAGATACATATAATAAAGTTCTAACTGAGTCAAATCTGTATACTAAATATTTTTTGGAAAATCTTATTGAAATAGTCATTATTATCGATACAAAGGAGTTTGAGTCTGAGTCTCTAGTATTTTATATAATACATAGTTATTAAGTTATATTAGGTATATATAAATATTCTTTTGTATAATTAATTATATTTATTTGTAACTATATGCAGGGTTGTATGAAAGACACTATTGGTTTCTGTCTAGTATAATGTAAATACACATTATTTTGTTATTTTACTAAGTACATTTATGAAATACAATTTCATACAATATATAAAAGAGTGTACAATGTAGTAACATGTGATAATTTTATATATTAGAAAATAAATCATAAACTTATAAGGACTGTCTTGTGAACTATCAACCAAAGTAATTTACTTTATCATTGTTACTATTTATATAGTGTCTGATTATTTACTGAACTCAATTGGCTTTATGTGAAATTTTATTACGAATAATTGTGTTTTTATTACAGAAGTATAAATTATAATTGGGCCTAAAACCATGTCTATAGGGGACTTAGTCTAAAATCTAGAACCTTTAGGCTATATACTATAGGACAAGTTTAATTTTCAATGATGATGCAGGTTTTCAGAATTTCCCTCTGATGTTTCCTCCTTTTGAGTCACTTTTTTTCTGATGTACTTAGACTGTGGAAGCAACCCCTTGGTGGATGTGGTCCTCTTCAGCAGGCTTTCTACTTTACTTACCTTCCTACCCTTCCCTACCTTCGGGGCGTCGTGGTTGTTTAGAAATGGGAGAGATTCTGTTGGGATTTAGTAGGTAGTACTGGCTTTCCTAGCCAGTTAGTCCCACATTATCACCTGTATGTAAGCAGCTGGCATGTGTAAATGCATTTCCCAACATTATAATAAGACTTTTCAGAATTCAAAATATTTGGACATAATAGTATTAAGAAAATACGACAGTTTTTCTTTTAAATGTAGGAAATTTAGATAAAACTGAAAGTGCTTTTTTATATGATTTTTATATGAACTCATTGATTACAAACAATTTTATTAAAATTTGAACAGGACAATGTCTGTCAGTACTAATATAAAAAAAAAAGTAAGTACTTACTAAAAAATAAGACACTATCTTTCGTTTCTACAAGATAGTTATTATAACTGATTTTATTTTAAGATCAAATATCTATATAACTAGAAGATACTTCAAACATTCCTAACATCAATGGACTATTGAACGATTATTTAAGTTTAAAATATTCAACACTAAAAATATACTACAGATATAACAAGCTTTGGCCCACACTTTTCTCTAGTTCAATGATGATAAAAAACCCAGAGATTGCTCGCACGAATTCCCTACAGGCCAGTAGATGTCCCATTAAAATCCATTTACGTTTTTCTAACATTTATCCCGTGTTAATAGTTCCTTTATCGAAATTTAAAGGAGCCTACGACACTAGCAGGAATACTCTTTTATTCATGAAAGCCTCATCAATATCTGTTCAACTATGTAATTACAAATAGAGAAACATGCAAAAACTTTTTTAGTGATCATTTGATTGATACGTCCATAAAAGAAAGTATCCTACAGGTTAATCCAGAAGTATCAAACACTCACAAACTTTCGCATATACTGTGTAATTATAACAAAACACCTATACATTTCCGATGTTATAAATAGTATTAGAACAAAATATTATGATGTGCCACCCACTCGGTACACGCGTTATATTAGTAAGTCTATATGATTATTGATCCTTCTTTATCTAATTAAGCACAACTGCCTTAGAACCTCATTCCATCTCCTATAACTGTGTTGTTACTTTATTTGTGAAGAATTACATATTGTTATGAAGTATATTGTTATTATAGTTATAATGAACTAGGTAAAGATAAAATATAGTATTTAAATATATCTCATATTATCAGTGAAGTCAATGTCCCGATAAAACGTAATATATGTACATACATAAACGTAATATATGTACAATGTTCAGTAGGTTCATCTATTATTTTATGAAGTGTCAAAAAAATTATAAATTTAAATTTGAGAAATGTACAAAAATCTCAAGTTTCTTGAACTGCCGATTGTTTTACGTAGCTTGGTGACGTTATGCATACCTTTATTAACACATTATCAGACATGCAACATGACTCACGTTTCGTTATCTTATTCATCAGACAACAAAAACACGCTATACTCGCCTATTGTGTACAAAAAATGTTTCTATAAACACTAGACCTACTAAATTTAATTATTTATTTTATCCTTTTTAATAGGACACTGTGAACATTCTGAAAGCTGAAGGACACAAATTCCCCCCATTAAAGGAATCGGACGCAATGTTTTCTGCTGATACAGCTCCTGAGTGGGCTGATGGAGAAGTTTGTCACAGGTTGGTCTGAATTATTTAACATCTAAATATCAAATATGATGTTTTAAAATAATCATTATTGTGTAATTGTGATTCCTAGGTGCCGTACGGCATTTACTCTGATGGTGCGTCGGCACCATTGCCGGGCCTGTGGTCAAGTATTCTGTCAACAGTGCAGCTCTAAGACATCTACTCTACCTAAGTTTGGTATAGAGAAAGAGGTAAGTGAACAAATGAAACACCTTTTAAATATGTACTAGTCGCGCGGGTGCATCCCTAGGTACGTTTTGAATAAATATGTGTAGTTATTGCAATTTGCATGTGTACCTTATGAGAAAGATTTATGCTATTGCATATTCTTCTGTAGGCCTTATTAAGACCTACAATTTTCTAGTACATTGTTTTGATGTATCTCTTTAGGTTTAGCCAGCATTAGACATTTAAATTAAAAAGGGCTGGATAGAACCAGTTGTCATGTTTTGCCATGGGAATGGAAGATTTTCCTGTAGTAAAAGATATCCTAAATGTTGACACGAGTAATAAGTTATCACTACACAAAATTTAGTTAAAATCGGTTCAGTACTTTTTGTGTGAAACATGCACATCGATTTTGCTAAGTTACTGTTTTATTATATGTATAGATTATATTTAGGTGAAAAATATTGTTTTAAAAAATATTGAGATATATTCTATGGCTAGCAAATTGGAAAGGACAAACTGCTTTTTTGCTCTCAATACATTTAACAAGTGCAAAAAATACTGTGTGAAAATATGGAATATCATATTTGGGTTCTTTAAGTCTCTATAATTGCTTCTGGTCAAATATTTATTGTTTTCAATGTCAATATGTTATAAAAATAATTTATGGTTGTGTAATATTGAAATTACTTAGAAAAATATGAGTATGACAAATTAGTAACATAACACCAATATGACTGCTTAAATTATATATAACTTAATGTGAAATGATATATATATATTTTTGTAGGTCAGAGTGTGTGATGCTTGCTTTGATAAAGTAAGTCGCCCACCTTCTTCAACTGCCAAGCTGGAAATTGTTGACACAGCTAATGACTATGGCCCTCCTCAAGCGCAGGTAGGTCAAGTTTTATAAATAATTTAACACATCAACATAAAATATCTTAGACTAATTAACAACTTTAAACTTATATGCTACAAGTTACAACTTACAGACTACAGTATTAAGGTTTTATAGTTATTTTTATATATTTGACACATAGGTAGATGTTTTGTTTTAATGATTTTATTTATATATTTAAGTCATTAATAAAACAATAAACTTAATAATATCGTTACTGTGAGGAGTGTAGATAAAAAAACAAAGAAAAGCTTAAAATTACGTTTATTTGAACCTAGATGCATCACTTTATTGTCCCTCATACGAATCTCCCGGCATTTCACCTCCAGGCACCAACATTGCTATATTGTTTCCGTTGAGCAATATTTGATCTAACTTTGTAATTTTTCTTCCTTCTGGCGTCGATTCGTATTCAGTGACATCATCTAATAACATATTTACAAAATCATCAAAACCTTGCAGCGTTCCCACCATTTCTTTGTCGTTCTTCATTATGATATGAATTCTTGAGCCTATACATTTATCGACCAGCTCAAGTGGTAATAAAGTGTTGGGATTAGGCAAGGCTTGTGCCATTGTCGTATCGTAAGATAATTAAGGTTGATTTGTCATAAATTTATCAAAACTTCGTTTCACTTCTTGTCAAGAAATGTCAGAGAGACATGTTTCCTTGAAAGTTGACATTATCATACATATACCATAGACTAACGACGCTTTTAAACGTTTGTATACTGTGGTCATCTCGTAGGACGACTTTTTTGTGTATGGCAACACTAAAGAAACGATTGATAGTTATGACATTTGACAGCAGTTTCTATTTGAAATATATTTAAAATAACGGTGTTAACTTTTACGTGAATCATAATATTAAATTGATTTCGTTGTTGAATATTATTTTATAAGTAAAATGTCTAAAAAATTTATAACAAACTTTAGAGGTGAATATTGTACACCTAATGGAAAGATACGTATTAAAGATGAACCAGTTACACCAGTTCAAGAAGATTTTGGATTTAACGAAAACCTGGATTATGATTTTGAAAATGATTTTAATATGAGAAAATCAATGTCAATGAACGACATAGCTACACTTAAAGAAGATTTAATAAAGTTGGAATTCGCTGATAACAAGGAAGATGTATATCATAGACATAGAAGACCAACCGGACTGCATCAAGAGTTATCTAAAACTAAATTTGTATCCATGGCAGAAGCTATATACCATTATCAAAGAGATACGCCCGATCGTTTCCATTCAAGTAGACCTCGATCCATTCGGCCTCAAAGCAATGTTGGACGCAGTGGGCTTACTGTTCCTCAATCTCCTATGTTAAGATGCAAAGGCCGTTCAAGACCGCAACATATTATATCTCAGAAAGAAAAGGAAGAATTAGAAATCGAAGAACTAAAAAAATTTAAAATTAAGGCTAATCCTATTCCAAAATCTGTTATCGAAGGGCCTATACACTTACCTGAAGTGTCTAAAAAGCCTATTACGGTTCCAGAACCATTTAAATTAACAGAAATACCCAAAAAGACTTTTCAGTCTCCAGGGCAAGTTCATAATTTCAAAGCTCGACCAGCACCCAAACATATTTTAGAAAAACCTCAAATACCACCTAAGACTCTTCCCCAAGTGACTAAACCTGTTAGTCCTAAATTTCATTACAAAAGAGTCAACTCTGCTGATCATCTTAAACATGGCATTAAAACGAGTGATTCAACAGCAAATGTTAAGAAAACTGAAAAATGTGAAAAAACAATGCAACGTCAAGGTCCTGTTAAACCAGAACCATTTTCGTTTGAAAAGAGAGATGAGGAATTAAAACGAAAGAGAGAGGAGAGAATAAAGAAGCAGTTAGAAGAGGATAGAAAACTTGCTTCCCAATTCAAAGCTCAACCATTACCTACAGCTGTAAAAAAAAGGATGCAAAATACTGCAACACTATGCAGTGCATCTAATGCATCATCTGAAAATAAAGAAAACTATATAAAATTTGAGGCTAAGCCACCTGTTGTCCTGTATAAAGAACCCTTTAAACCAGTTCTACAACCAGTGCAACTGATTAAATCAGTTCCATTCGAATTAACAACAGAAAAACGGGCTGCTGAAAGGGAAAGATTTGAGAAGCAATTAAAAGAAAAAGAAGAAGAAAATGAAAGATTGAAACAACAGAAAGAAAAGGAGCAGAAAGAGGCGGAAGAAAGAGCAATCACAGAATTAAGAGCAAAACTGGTACATCATGCTAAACCAGTTCCGCCATTAAATCCATTTGTACCAGAGAAATCTGTTGCACCCATTACGGTTCCTGAGACCCCGAAGTTTGTTAGGAGGTTAAAACAACATTAAAACTAATTATTATGATATAAATAAAAAATAATATAAATCATGATTCAAATTATTCTATTTGATGATGATGTACTCATGCTATTTGTACTGACTTTACTTATGTTCTGACATTGTTTAGCATTTAGTTTTCTTTGTAATATCTAAATATATGAATATATAAACCTCTTAAATCTTTTATTTATAACATATTTAAAAAAGTTGTAAGGTTATTTATAATATTGTGTATTCAAATATCATGTATAGATGATTTGATGTGATAATCTCCATGCAGTATTTAAAGTTGTTTCATTATAAATGTAATAGAAATCTTCATGTTGCTTCTAATATAAAGGTTTTTTTTCATGTCAATATGAAGCTTTTCTTTGATGTGTTGCTATATGAGCTTAAAAGTTTCTTACCCCATTTTTATAATTAATTGATCATTATGGCATATTAAAAATTTTATGTGTTAGTGTCATTAGTGTTTTATCAGTATTTATTTTGAATTCATAAACAAACATAAAATATAATATTAATACCTAAATTCTAATAATAATAAAGTATTCTAATAGCAATAAAGCAAATTTTGTATTTTATTACATTCATAATCAATATATTTTCTTATGAAAATCTATTGCAAATTGAGTTGAGCATATTGTTTTATTGCATTTTAATATACATAATTTTAGAAAAAGCCTGGTAAGACTGCTGAAGAACTTCAAGAGGAAGAGGAATTGCAGCTAGCCCTTGCTTTGAGTCAATCGGAAGCAGAGCACAAGGAGAAAGAACGTAGGACCAGATCATATATTGCACCAGAAAATACTTTGCATCCTACAAGTAAAATTTTTATAAATTTTCTAATTTAATGATGTTCATTATAAAATAAATTTTAATATGTGGTGAAAATACATCTATCATATTTATTCATATTTAAGTAAAGAAAATTAAGAATTTAAAATTTTAGATTAAAAAAACACCCCTTACTCAAGAAAAATAATTTTCTTTTAATTTTTCATGCAATAAAGAATTTTGTTCAGTGTTATCATGATGTATGCAGTTGATGGTTTAGTTATCTCTATAATAAAAGGTGCCGAACGAGTTTGTTTTGATTTTGCATTTTGCACATATTAGCATCCACTTGAATCCACTTATGATATAAATATGAGTAAAATATTTCGGGTTGCGTTATCTATTTAGACAAAACAAAATATTACAGATTAGGATGTTCTAATTTCTTTGTATGTTAGGGGATATCAGTATTAGTATCTTAAATGGTCTATATAACAGTTATTAACAAAGATAATTATTATTTTGATATTTCATTCAATTGATATCTTAATATTACAGTTTCACCGACCCCATCGTCTGTGAGTGCGTCTCCCGAACACAGTACAACGAACTCTGAGCTATCTCGTTACTTGGATAGGAACTACTGGGAGCAAAGGTTGACGCGTGAAGCCGCCAATGCGCCCACCGCTCCCGCTCCCTCTTCGCACGCTACAAATGAACCTACTGAGGTTTGTGGGATCGATTCTTCTATTTTTTTTCATAATTTCAGTTCCCAGATATATGAATATATTAACGGTTAGTATGGAATAGATAGACTATATCTATACATATAATAAAATTCTAACTAAGCCAAATCTGTACATTCAATATTTTTTTTGAAAATCTTATTAAAATAGACATTATTTTCGATACAGAGACCGAATCTATAGTTTTTAGAATTTTTGTCTGTCTGTCTGTCTGTTACCGCATCATGGAAAAACCACTGGAAGGATTTTGTTGAAATTTGGTATGGTGATAGCTGGTTATCCGGGTCAACATATAGGATACTTATTACCGCGGGAAAATATCTCATTTCTGAGAAAAAAACCAAAACTGCAATGTAAAACCTAAGAATTTTATTTTTGGTCATCTAAACGCGGGCGGAGCCGCGGGCAATGCTAGTTATATATATACTAATATTATAAAAAGGTAAAGTTTGTGAGTTTATGAGTTTGTAGGGGGTAATCCCTGGATCTATTGATCCGATTCAGATGAAATTTAGTAAGGGGATAGTTTGAGACCCTGGGAAAGACAGGATACTTTTTATCCCGGAAATCATCTCTTAATGGGGTGAAAATTGGGATGAAAGTTTGTATGGGGAATCAAGCTGGGTATGAACCCAAGCGAAGCGAAGGTGAGTCACTAGTTATATATATACATAGGTATGATAAGTTGTTTGTGTGGCTTGTATTATAATATGTTTTCTTGTGGGAATGAGATAATATCCCGCGGTAAAAAGTAGCCTATGTTACTCTCCAGCCCTCCCAACTATACAAAAAATCATGCCTATTTTATATGTATTCGTGAAAGATAGACAAAGAAACACAATACACTTTCACATTTATAATATTAATATAATTATTAGTAAGTATGGATAATTTCAGTTCCCAATTATTAAATTTGGAAAGATTTATACTAATCTAATCTTATTTGAATAATAATTTAAAATTATATGAGATTGATATATAAGATAATTTATTTACAAACTCTTTATCTCAAACTCCTGATGTCAAATGTTTAATTTATTTATGCATTTATTTTTTAATATAATTTAAATATTTACGACAACAAAAATAATCTTATCTACTAACTGTTACTAATAATTACTAGACTAATAATAATAGTTTAAATAAAACAAAATATTTTAAAACTTTCAGCCAGAATTTGTGAAGCCAAATCCTGCTAAGAATCAGGATGACGAAGCTGAGGAAAAGGAAATTGATGAATTTGTTGAATCTCTTAAATCTCAAGTGGAAATTTTTGTGAACAGAATGAAAAGCAATTCTTCACGGTATGTCGTTATTTTTGCAATAGTTTCTTATTATTTTGTAATTAAGTTACTTGTTACGATGAGTCGTTTATTTAGAGTAAATAAAATAAAAATATTTAGAGTAACTTTTAAGTTATTATTGCTAAGTCTATTCGTATTCTATGAAAAATGGTAAAAAAATGTACAATCAACATCTTTTAATTACTTTTTTTAATTAAACTCTTTACCTAATATCACTATTTTAAATCTATTTATTACACACTAATAACTATAATACTAAAAATTGTAAAGTCGAAAGTTTGTTTATAGTGTCTGTTTTTTACTTCTCCATGCTGTAACTGCACAATGGATTTGATTTAAAGCTTGATTTTAATATATTTTTTAAACGAAAGGTTTGGCTCAGTTTATAGTGACCCTACTTGCAGTGTCAGCGGTCGCGGGTTCGAGTCCCGCTGGGGGCATCCATTTGTGTGTGTGCATGCAAATGTTTGTACTACAGTCATGCGCGTTTATATTTATAATATTTAAAGATTATATGTATAGTATAATCAAATGTCTAGTATCCATAACACAAACCTTGTAGCTTACCATGGAACTAGATGGTGCTGTGTGTTAATGTCCCAACATATTTATTATTTACTAACGACTCACCCTCCCTTCACTCGGGTTCTTCCCTAGGTTGATTCCCCATACAAACTTTCATCCCCATTTTCACCCCCTTAAGGCATGATTTCCGGAATAAAATGTATCCTATGTCCTTCCCAGGGTCTCAAACTATCTTCTTACCAAATTATATCTAAATCGGTTCAGTAGATCCAGAGATTACCCCATACAACGTCACAAACTCACAATGCTACCTCTTTAAAATAAAACAAATATTTAATCTAAACATTGTTCCAGTGGTCGTTCAATCGCCAACGACACATCGGTGCAGACGCTGTTCATGAACATCACCGCGATGCACTCCAAGCTGCTGCGCTACATACAACAGCAGGACGACAAGCGCGTGTACCTGGAAAGTTTACAGGTATGACGGTTTGGGAAACGAGATTGGGTCAATACATATTTGTTTTGGTATTTATTACATATATTATAGAGGTAGTGGTAGCTCAGTGGTAACGCGCTCGCTTGGGAAACCGAGTGAGGCAAGTTCAAATCCCGGGTCTCGGACCTCTGATGTTTTCATGTGCGAATCATTTCCACTTGTCTTACGGTGAAGGAAAACATCATACGGAAACCTACATGTTTGAGAGAACTTAGCAAGTTTTCGAAAAACATGTGAAGTCTGCCAACCCGCACTTGGCCAGCGTGGGGGACTATGGCCTGATCCCCCTCGTATTGAAGGAAAGCCCGTGCCCAACAGTGGGACGTTAAAAAAAGTGAATATATTACACAGATTGTACATTTTTTATTAATTTTTGTTATGTTGCACGTCGTTTATCGCAATTTAAGATTTTATATAACTCAAAGAAAATCACAGGAAAAAAGGTTGCATGCATAATCAATCATTATTGTATAGATTGTTTTCTTTTGTTTCTATATGCATGTTGTGATTACCTCTAAACAGAAACACAATTATACTGTATTTAATTTATTATGTGAATTATATTTATATTACTGAATGGTAATCTTAATAAATAAATATATAATCTATTTTTTTATATAACAGGACAAAATAAACCAAGTACGTGATAGCCGTGCAGCTTTAGACACGCTGCGAGCAGAGCACGCCGCACGTCTCGCGCAGGCGGCAGAAGCGGCGGAAAGGCAGCGACAGATGCAAATGGCGGTTAAACTGCAAGCTATGAGGAAGAAGAAACACGAGTACCTCCAGTATCAGAGACAGTTGGCCCTACAGCGGGTACAGGTGAGTTGAATGTTTGACTGTACAAGACAAATAATTATGAATTATTTCGGTTCAATTAGCAATTATTTCAATACTTGTCTATATAAATATTTGTCTAGAGTTACAGCAAAAAGAATATAACAAAAACCTTCCCCATGTACATTACATGTATGTCAAAATTACAAAGCAAATGTTGACAAATGGAGTTTTTCGTTTTTGTATTAACATTTTTATCTCTATGTATTAAAAGCTTAACAGATATTGCTACTATTACTATTTAAAGAAAACTAATATTTTTTAATTAAACAGGAACAAGAAAGAGAAATGCAAATGAGACAAGAGCAGCAGAAACATCAGTACATGATGTCCGCTAATAGTGGCTTCTACATGCCCGGGGTCTCCATGCATCAGTACCAGCCCGGTTACCCCAACCAGGCCCTGTACTCCAATCCACAATTTCACCCTCAAATGATGCCACAAGCCACCACCGATGGTAACCTCCCGATGCCTGGCCAACCGCAAATGTCGCAAGCAAACAACCCCATGAATGTAAATCAAATATCTCAATCAATGCCACATATGAGCAATAACTTTGTCATGTCTGCATCAGGCATGGCTTTAGGCCAACCAACTAGTGTACCAACTACAATGAACCAACCCAACATGAGGCCTGGCATGAACCAGCAACTCGCTCTCCAACAACAAGTCATGATGCAACAAATGCAGCAGATGCGCTTGCCCAATCAACCAGGTGTTCACCAAATGATACCACCTAATGTACCAAATGGCTTACCAGGACAAAGTATGCCACAAAATCCCCAAACTACTCAGCAGCTACCAAAACAAAATGTACCACCAAATCAAGTCCAGCAAACTAACCCCATGATGCCACCAATGACCATTGGGCAACAACCAAATTCTGCAAATCCAATGTTTACAATGCAAATGCCAAATATGCGAATGCCACTAATGCAAGGCAATCAACCAAATAATAACCAGCAAATTCCCGTTTCTTACCCTATGAACGTGCAGAATCCACAAAGCAGCCAGCAGGCAACAAATATCCCTCATATGCCCCAAATGCAGTTGCCAGGACAACCAATGCCCATGCCTGGTCAACCAATGATGCAAAATCAAGCAATACCTGGAAACCAACAGCTACACCAAGCACCACAGATCCCACAAAGCCAGGGTCAGCAGATTTCTCAACCACAAATGACTCAACAAACAATGACAATGCCAGGACATCCCCCGCAGCAACATAATCAGCAAATGCAGCCTAATCACATGGCTAATCAACAAGGCCAAATGGCTCCATCCCAACAGGTGCCTCAAATGATGGCAGGTGCAATGCAACAGGCCCCACAAATGCAAGGACACATACCCAATCAAGGTCAACAAGTCCAGGGTCAAATACCACAAAACATCCAAGGTCAAGGTATGAAATTGCAACAAAATTATGGAAATGACCCGCCTAACCAACAACAACAAATACCCAACCAACAAGTACATCAGGTTCAGACACCAGTAAAGTCTGAAAATAACAATAACACCGCAGAACTCATAAGCTTTGACTGAATTTAAGCATACTCATAAAAGAGATCTATTTATTAAACTGTTTATTCATAAAGGGTATTCTTGACAAATTCACAATTATCCATATAAGATTGTAAATTGATGTTAAAAATTTTAAATTATTTATGCATGTACTCATTCAGCTTGTAAACCTTGGTCCGTGGTGTTGAATTATTGTTAAAATTAGTATGCTATCCTGAACTTTAAATGTTACATATAACATCACATTCTTGCGTAAAATACAGTAATGATTCACAGGCGGTAGTCAATTTAGGTTTTAGAGAAAATGGCCTTGTAATCTATGTAAATGTGCTAAACTGTAAAAATATGTCGTATTGTAGTTACTTAGATATTAATATAAAATTCAAAATATTATTTTATTTTTATTTACAATATTTGTTTTGTAATATTTATATTTAAGTTACGATTTATTATGTATTATACTAATAAAGATTCTTAAAACTTTAAATTTATTATTTTTCCTGTTTCTATCAAAGATTAAAGTAGATTTAGCCCTTCCGAGAGTGTTTAAATTTTTCAGATTTCAAATGATGCATTGTCTAAATAGCATTACACCTTTATAGTTTGTTGCATTCAGATTAAGATTGGAAGACATTAGGCAACACATTTGTTGACTAAGTACAGTGACTCGACTGTCTAAAATGCCTTTACACTTGGATAAAATATGTTCGTTCAAGGTTTTCGCATTTAGCCAAAGTCAAAAAGCCCCCAGGCCCCATTACCCTTGGTTAAAAATAGAGTATAAATATGATGCATTTCCTAATCTCGCTACCGGTCCGGCTATGTATGGGAAACTCGAGTACATCATTTAAATTTTAATGTAATTGCGCAATGCACAAAAGGATTCTTTTTCATTGAAAGTCTAATATCTCGGGAAAAAATCGACGTAAAGCGTTTAGCAAAAAAATTGTTTTGTCCAAATTATTTACATAATTTTTTAACAAAACTTACTAAATTTTGTAAATATCAACTTATTTTTTTTTTATTATATTTTTAACTAATGAATAAACAAGATTAGACAAAATGAATGAATATCATTTCTGTCAGTAATTAGCCTAAAATTAATTTTTTTAGAAAAAAATCAATAAATTGGACCCAGTTAAGCAAAAAACGTCCATGTGCGTAAAACATAGAGTATATTGCTACATATATAAAAATGGCGTAAAACTACCAACAGAGTTATAAGCATTTTTCTGTCGATAGTTGCACTTGGGTAATGTTTTGTTTTTCTGGTTATTTTAAAATTGAACAATATTTATATAAGTATTGTTTATTTTTTATAATTATTTTATTTTTTATAATAAAATGCTTATAATTCTGTTGGTACTTTTACGCACATGGCTGTTTTTTTGCATGACTGAAAAGTTAATATATTAAGAAACTCAATCGCTGGTTACTAATAATTTCATAAAAATTAAATTTTTATATTTTGATTTGTTTTAATTTAATTGCGGTATCTGCCACAGTGCCAAAGAAGTTTTACTTCAACCGCGCGTAAAGGTTACATGCACTCATTTTTTTATTGCATCTACGATTTTTTGGTCAATTGAAAGACAATCTTCACTTAATATCATAAGGTATTAATATAGTCTCTCAAAAATTACATTTGCAAGCTCCAGTTTCAGTCGTTGTTAGCATTATTAGATATACGGTAGAAAATCTATTCAAAACTGTACACACGTTTAATCCTTGCCGCAGGATGTGTGTAATGTGTATGTCTTCGACTGCATAATACGTTATTCCTTCGTCAATTTGTTTTCATATTTTTAGTTAACTTTCAAGCAGTCGGGTTTTTATATTTTATAATGGGGAAGAATTTTGCCATTTTCTCCCGCCAGATGTCACGATCAATATGATCCTCAGTATATTGTAAAGCTCTATGGCGTGGATGGATTTTTTCATTTTATTTAAAATTTAATTGATGCAAAGAAAATGGTTATTATTTGTTCCCAAAAGACAAAAACTGATGAAAATCTAGGCTAAAGCAATAATTCTCACAGTACCCTACCCATTGACGGCCGGTAGGGTCCCCATGACGGGTTTCCCCAGCGTTAACAAAAACAAAAAAGCCTAAAGCAATAAGACGACCATAGTTGTCGAAATTACAATCTTTATGTTTAAGATTATGTAGACATCATTTTACAGAAAGTGATTTTAAATCTGTCTCGTCTACAGGTGTTTTTTTGTCCTTTTTTATTTCTATTGGAACTTTTACAGATAGGTACACAATATATAAACTACCATAATTGTTAATAATATTACAGGTTTGAATTTACAAACGTCGAAAGTTAAAGGAGAATGCGGTGCCGTATGTTTTTCCTTTGTCCAAGTTTTTACCTCCTTATGCAGCTGTTAGGGAAGAAAGACCATGAAATAGAAATGTAAAAAGGAGGTTTTCCCACAAGAATACAAAAATTAATATAAAATATTTGTATTGTTTTTTTTTTCATTTTAAGGGTAAATACCACCTTCTATGATTTAAATATAGTTATTATATAAACTTTCATCCCACATTTTACCCCTTTATGAGATTGAATTTTGAAAAATGCCAAAACACATATTTATTTAATTGCATTGAAAAGCATTAACCAAGTTTCAAGTAATTTTCATCATAAATAATTCTTTGCGTATATAAACTGTATTACTCTTATTTACCCCTTCATGGGATTAATTTCGAAAAAAATGAATTAAATATATTTCTTATTTGTATCTGTATCTCTGTATTTCCCATTAAGTCCTTAATCCACTATTTGACCCACTTACATTGGTACAATACATTGGACTGGTAAAATGCCAACACAATAGAAGCAAAAATGCAGGTAAAAAAAAAAAAAGAGATATCATAATAAATTACTTATAAACCTCAGACTGAATGTAAATAGATTATACGCTTAGCACCCTCCTGTTATGAAATCTTCTCCATGTTTAATTTGTAATTCACCTTTATTCTAACTTGACGCTAGAAATTGAAATTTGTAGCTGGCAATAATATAAATAATTTCAATTTATGATTTGTTAACGCGGGAATATTTGACAATTAATTGTCAGGATTTTATATTTATTTGTCATCCATGGTCAAGATGTAATAAATACAAATATAATTTTACTAAATACATTCTAAATGCAACTTTTTATGTCTAAAATATATTCTACGAGTTATAATGGAAGATGATAATAATGACGGTCCATTTGCCGTGTGGCAAATGTTTAATGCGCCTACTTTAGTGCTATTTAACAATATAGAACATGCTGAAGAGGGTTTACATAGACTCCTGTCTTCTATATTAAAATTATCAGGGTGAGAGAAATATATTTAAAAATCAAACAAACACAATTTGTAAATCTTTAACAATATTAAGAAACTTACTAAACTAATAAGTAATTTGTCACCAGAGATTTTTCAGAAGTGTTAGTGCCCCGATCTGGGAATGCCAAATGTCCAGATTCTCTATATAGTGCATTTAATACATGGCTTCTTGGCAGATTATTTTATGTTTGTTCTGTTAATGAATTATCTAGGTAAGATACATGCAATCACTAAAGTTATTTGATACCTAATATTGTAATTTGACACTTATAACATGTAATAAAATTTATTTTTCAGAATTCATGCAATGAGTAAGGATGCACAGCTAAAAATTCTCAACATATTGTGCATAAATGGAGCTTCTTTTTACAGTGAACTACATTCACAATATTTTTTGATATTATTTAATCTCTTGGAATATTATAAAGATTTTCCAAATAATGAAAAAACAATAATAACATTGCAAAATTTTACACCTGAAGTTATAGAAATACCTAATGAAGATATTAATCTGGAACCCATTTATGTAAAAGTGAAAGATATATCAACATGTAAAACTTTGATAAATTTTATTTTACAATTACTCTCTGAAAGTATACCATTAAGTTTATTGCAATACAAACAAAATAATCTTGAAGAGCAAGCTTTCACAGGCATAATATATGCTATTCAAAATTTTAGCATTGATGTTAAATATATGAGCTTAGTTTTTTTTTGTAATCTCATAAAGAATATGAATAAACAGTCTGTCACGAAATTTTATGAGACTTTTCCAAATTTTTATATACTTGTGTTACATTGTCTTGAAGCCATTGTTCAAAATATGAATGTACTGATTGGTAAATGTGAAATTGATAGTGTGCTATTCTATGATTTTAACAAAATGTTATTAGAATTTCTAGAAATAATTGAGGATGACAGTGAAACTGAAAGCCAACAGATTTTGATAAGAATCTGTTCAGTGGTATTGAGTAAAACTTCAAGCAGAATATTCAATAAAGAATTGAAGTTACATTGTTTACTACTTAGCAGAAAAATTGAACTACCCAAAGATCTATTAAATATATCAGATAACATGGATTCTTGTGAAATTGAAAAGCTAACAGATTATTACAGCAAAAACATTTTAGAAGATATTCAAGTTAGTAGAAATATGAATAAACCTATTGACACATATGAAAGTTGGTGTTACATGCAAGTGCTGTCTGTAGTTAATTCACTTAAGACTTGCGAACAATCAAATATGGATATTTTTCTCATTAACCACTATTTACAAAGATGTCACAAAGCCTTAGGAATATTAGAGATTGTTGCTTTTGAAGTGAAAAGATTATTTGATGATGAAAAGTCAAATGATTTAATATCAATGCAGAACATTAGGAATGTCTGGTTTACATTGATTCAGTTGCAAAAACAACATACATTTCTAATAGTGAATAATGAAAACTGCTTTGAGTCAGTAATGAGAATAGTTCTTTCAACAATAAATTTAAGTAAAAATTTCACAAAAGAAGATACCTCTTTGTTACTCCGGATACTCTGTCTCTATGAAATACAGTCCCCAGAGAAAAATTTGCCATTTAGTGAAAGTATAAGATTAAAAATACTAAAATCTTTACTAGTTGCAAAACTTCATATTAGACCAAAAACTAGTGAGTGGGATATTATGATCACATCACTACATACATCTTTAGTTAAAAATAAGGAGTCCAACAACATGAAAGAGGTAAATATACAAAGTTTTGTTTGAAATAATAAACAAAATTTTGATTATACAAGTTCATTTTAATTATTTTTTTGCTCACTAATAAAAATAATTTTGCCTGTATTGCTTATGAAATTTTTTATTAAATTTGTAAATCTATAAAAAACATTTATGTACTAATTATACATATTGCTTTGCAGGTTTTACAGTTATGTCCATTTTTAGTATTAAATAAAGTAGTTTCAGCGAGCAGAGTCATAGGTGATGTCATGATGCCAGTCTTTATGAGAAAAGAAATTGAAGTTCAAAAAGAAATTCTGAAGATCTTAAAGTCTATTGCTTGTATGTCTTTAGGAACTTATAATATTATAATTAATACTGATAAAAATAAATTAGGTGAAGTTATATACACAAATAATGGTTTAAATATTTGCATTATTTGTACTAAGTGCCATACTTTGAATGATCAAGTAAGTTCTTCTGAAGCCATTTGCTTAGAAATTAGAAAGGAATTTAAAGTTTTACTAAGTGAAAGTAATTCAATAACACCAACAAAAATTTCAACTTATGATGGGTTGAGGAAGCTGTTTGGAAATTTTCTCAATTTGAAAGTGTGCGAAGGAAATGAAGAATTTTGGCATTTGGTTAGATCCCTGTCAAACCATTATTGCATTTTTAATTATAATGTTTCAACAAAAATCATCAGTGAACAATTTTTGAAAGAAGTGATTTACACATTTAAGCCATTTATGGATGATACTCAGGTATATTTTAATTTACTTTTCAATAAATATAACTATAAATAGAATTATAAATACATTTTTTTAATTTTAGGTATACAAATATCCCCACTGGAATTCATTCAGAGATACAATAATGGATATGTGTCTCAATATGTTAGTAAAGTTAACGAGGACATGCCTACAAAATAGTAATTTAAACTTGCAAACTGAAACTTTAGAATATATTAATGACTTGGGCTTATGTCATAATTCTAAACTAATATTGCCTGTTACAAAACTACTAATTTTCTTTATAATGCACCCACAATGTCCTTTATCACCAAAAGCAGTTGTCTATTTGGAGGATATCTGTGAATTCCAAGGTTTTACTCCAAACCAGATCTACCACAGATACAAGAAGGATTATTGCAAATTGTTTGTTGAATGCAGTTTGTATAATGGCAAAGACTTCATTGTTTATCTTCTTAAAGCTATTAAGGCTTTTGGATTTGTAGGCTACAGAGAATTTATATCTAAAGATATTCATCATTTTTTGCCATATCTCATACCTTACTCTGTTGTTGTGAAAGAAGTTCCATCTATGATTGAAGAGATCGCGGCATTAGTTCAATGTTCCATATCAGATTTCCTCATTGAAAGATTTCCTCATATATATGTTCATGTATATTTGAATGAATCCGATCCTGCGGCTAAAAAATGTTACGAGATTATAGAAACGTTGACCGAAACAAGTACCTTGAATCTGATAAAGAAGCACTTTCGGGTCATTTTGACGGAATTTCTATTACAGTATTGCACTAATCCAGAAAAAGTTTTAAATGCGTGCAGACACTTAGCCTGCAATGATCCGGATATATCTATTTCACAATTTAGTATGAGCATGAGTACGACGCAAATTGCAGATTTTCTTAATCCTAAATTTTTGGGAGTTTTAGCATATTTCGATCACAAATTAGTCAATGCTAAAGTGGCATTGTCGGTTAAACGTAAAGCTTTGAAGAGCTTTCCAGATATTATGCAGTTAATGGGAGCAAAATATTTGACGCCATTAAGATTTAAAGTGCTTGCTACTTTGAGATCGGCGTTGCCGTTAGCAAAAGAATTCCCAAAGATTTTAGCAGAAGCATGGGGGGCCTTTATATATAATATCGATAGTATCTGCTTAGGCCCCTTATTGTCAAATTTGGCCGTTTCATTGCTCCATCAATTCGAATACGCACCACAAGAAATAAATAAGATTTTCCACTATCTCCTACTAAATAATGAAAATTTATTGAGCTCTCATATCTCTGATTTATTCTTCGTTGTAGATTCAGATATTTCTGAAAAAGTTAAGTTAGTGATAAATAAACATGTAAAGAGGACTCAGCCTGAAGGTTTTCAGGATAAAATCAAGTGGTATTTGCAGCATTTAAATCACGATATTCCGAATATTAAAGCGCATGCTTTCTCGCATTTGGACAAACTGTTAAAAAGCAATAGATCTGAAATCCACGCTGCCGTATTTGGTAGTAAAAACATTGAAAGTGCTATCGTGGAATTAATAGACAGTTTACTTGCTGGTAAGGTAATGTTTGAATTTTACTGTTAGTAAATCGATATTGGCTAGCCAATTTATATAGTCTAGCATAGTGCTTTGTATTATGTGTGTATTCAGCCTTTTTTAACGTCCCACTGCTGGGCACGGGCCTCCCTTCAATACGAGGGGGATCAGGCCATAGTGCAACACACTGGTCAAGTGTGGGTTGGCGGACTTCACATGTCTTTCGAAAACTTGCTAGATTTTCTCAGACATGCAGTCACTGTACGGCAAGTGGTAATCATGTTAAAAATGATTCGCACATGTAATTATTACAATAATACAATTAGAGGTGCAAGACTTGGGATTTGAACCCGCTTCACTCTGTTTCCCAAGAGAGCGCGTTACCACTGGGCTACTACTGCCTCTATTGGTAGCCGAGTGGTGGTATATTATGTACCATTGGTTAATTATTAATATTAAAACTATGTCGTAGTTCACTCCATATAGGTGTATGTTTGCATCAAGAATAATATTTTTTATAGAATTATTTATGTTTGTTCATTTTTTTTCAATGTTTATAGCATTTTTTTCCTTTTTTTTCTATTCAATAAGGAAATGGTAAAAAAATAAAAAAATATTTCTAATTTTATTGAATAACTAATGATTTCCAGGTTGTAAAGACTCGGATCCTAAAGTGGCCATAGCCAGTGGGTCCTGTCTTGGTCAGCTCGGGGCCATAGAGGCCGGTCACTTGCCTCGCCAATATGTGCAAGATAGATCGCCATTTGCATTCTCTATCAACGATGATTGCTTTGCTGCAACAGCACTGGTGGAGTTGACAAGAGCATTCCAATATGAGAAGGATACTATTGTGAGTACTCTTGCAATATATTTCTTTAATTTTTTAATGTAGCTCTAAATACCCTAATTGAATTTCGTACAGGATTGCGAATTGCCCGAGTGTGCTTAGAATTAGAAATAAAGCGGTCGCTAAAAGAAAAAAAAATATGGCATTGGTCCTTTTATTCAGCGTATAGAATCGGACTTACGTTATCGAAATTTTTTATAGTTGTTTTGTTAAGAGATTATGATATATATATAATCAAGTTATTATAACTTAGTAATATCGTATAAAAAATGTAGAGTTTAGACATAGTTTAGAATTATTAAATTTTATTTCTTTATTCCATTTCAGAATATGGACAGCTACGCTTTATCGATACAGGAAATATTGAAGGTTTACGATATATCTCCAACCGGCTCTAAAAAGGAAGTGTGGGACAGCTTTCCTGAGAACATGCATCAAATTATGCATCCATTACTAAGTTCTAGGTATATTATTTACTCAGATATTTTTTTAGATAATTTTTTTTTTCGCTTTTGCGTTGCAACTTTGATTCCCCTATAAAGCATTTTTTTTACTATTTTATTGTATTTTTTTTATATTAGGTACACTTTGGCGTATCCATCACAGCCGAAAAAGGTGCATCCATTATTTGGCTCTGTGCATGCTACTACGTTTTTGGAATGGGTTCACAAGTAAGTTATGTTTTTAGTTCCAAGTACATAGAATAGTTTAGAAAAGTGTTTTTTTATGATTTTTGGTTAAACATTTATATAGGTGATAAATGTGAAATAAAAGATAAAAAAAATATATAAAACTGCCTCGGTGCTATAGTGACTAACATGTACTTTTATTTGATCGTTAATTTGTCGTTATCTTAGTTTTTCGCCTCTAAATTCATACTTATTAAATTTAGCTTAACCGTATATCTCCAAATAAACATTAAAGTGTATTCTTAGAAAGTCTTTTACATTTATTTCCTTCAATCCAGTTGGGCAGGACAACTAATCCCGCTGATAAAGTCAGAAAGCACCCGCGAGCTACTGCGCTCCGTCCACCCGAGCATGCGCCGCGACGTGCGCACGCTGTTCCTGTTCCTGCCGTACGTGTTGCTGCACGCGGCGCTGTCCGACGCGCGCGCGCGGTGTGTGCGCGAGGAGATGCTGGCTGTCATTGGTAGGTGCTGTTGTTATGGTGTGACAATAGTTGTAAGATGATGTCACTGTATTTCTAGATTTAAGACTAAAACCTGGGCGACTGAGCTTCGCTCGTTGTTTTCCCGGAGAGGTATAAAAATTGCGTTTTTTAGAACATACCTATATAGATAAAATTAGCGAAATAGAAATTGTATAAAATTAATAAATAAAAAAATTAATCCAAATCGTCACAGCCGTTTCCGAGATACATGAAATAAATTTAAATACATACATATATATAAGAACTGCTCATTTAATATTATAAGATATAACCTCATAAACGATTGATTGATTATATTTACACTTGTTGTGTCTTGATGTGCCACTATTAACATTATTTTGGCTAACATATTGTATAAGGATATCCAGGAAAAGGCAGGATATATGACTTGTTAGTTTTTAGTCTTTTTATATTTGAATATACATATTTATATTATTTCGTAAAAGTGTTTATTGTCATTTTTAAGACGACAAAAAATATAAATAGTATAAAATTAATATTTTCGTAAAAAACTTTCTTTTAAAAACTTTTATAAAATTCTTATTTGTATGAAGAGTATATTATGTATAAGACGCCATCTTAAAATTAAATATATGTATGATTGAGTTTGAATTTTCCAGGACTAGAAAGTATTGACACTGATAACCCAAGATTGACACAAAATGTAAACTCTGTCCAAGCTGAAGAAGGCAATCAGGTAAATATAGAAAAAACTTACATTATTACACAATTCATTAATCTGAAAGTGCAAAATTTTAAAATATTATAAGAAACAATAATAATGGCACAATAGGTGAAACAAAACCAAAAAAACCTGAGATTGATTTCATGTCTAGATGATTAAAAATTAAGAAGTATATGTTATTGGGAATATGTCAACTTATTCATATTATTTTTACATTTAAAATTAACTGTTTTATTTTTAGGGAAAATGCAGTAAGACAATATATACGCTATTGGACTTCCTAAATAGATGGCTGCTAGAATACACCCACGTCAAGCAGAAGCCTTTGGAAAATGAAGATTACCAGTAAATCTTTTATGACTACTATACTTATTAAAATGATTAAATAATACTAAATATTAAAAAATTAGGTTTATTAAAATGGATATTATATAGGTACTGGCGACCTCGTTTCGCTCGGGTGCGTTCTGATGTTAGTTTTAAAGAGATAAAATTAGTTATTGTAGGAGATAGATAATTGCGGATTTTTCTGTATGCCTTTTTAAGACCTACAATTTTCTAGTGATTTTTTTTGATATATCTCTTGAGGTTTAGCCAACTTTGACCATGTAAATTTCTAAGGACATGGACATGGACGAGGAGAAGATACAAAAAAATAAAATTTGCTGAGGTTCATTAAAATATTGTCTTTATATTTTCAGAATAATAAAGAAGTTTATGAATACGTTCGATAAGCTAGTGATAGCGCGCGGTAACTTCGCGTGCGGTGAACTTGAACGTGCTTTGCAGTACTTAGAGTTGTATATGGACGAGAATAAAGATAAGATGCAAGAACAATTGTCTTTCATGGCCGAAATATATGCTTTGTTGGACGAACCTGACTCCGTTGCTGGTAAATAAATGTTGTAAAGTACTTGAAACTTTTACTTGTACTTGAAAATATACACTAAGGCATTACTAATTATTTTACTAACAAATATATATTTAAATAAAAAATCTCTAACCAAAAAAAACTCTACAAAACTCTAAAACTACTGATCCGATTCTGAAAATTCTTTTACTTATGCCGCCATACTGTTGCTATAATAGGCAATATTTGTTTTTTTGATAAAAATGTGTTAACCATCAGAAATCATAATAATTTTTATTGAAAAGTTTTGGAAAAATGTGGCCGTTAAGTTACTTTACCGGCTATTGTTAAATTATAAATTATTTCAATATATTTTATTTAAAAAGAATTTATTTTCTTCTCCAGGTATTCTCTCTATCAAAAGGTCAGAGCCGTCACTAAAAGAGTTAATTTTGACTCAAGTAGTGACCGGGCGCTTGCAAGACGCAGCGCTCTGCTACGAGCGCTTGGCGCAAGAGGGACAACTGGACAGGCATAGCTTGCAAGTAAGATAATATTATCAAATGAAAATGTTCAGTAGCTAGATCCTTTGAGATTATGTCTAGTTTTTATAGAAGATCAGATTAATAAGTAAATATTGATTTCTATGCAATTGCCACTACCAATTTTCGTCCAGTGTACTAAATGTTGATACAAGTATGTTAAGGATTAAACTGAAGAACTAGGTTATTTTTGTATACTATATAGCAACTTTTCGTTTATCCTTTACGCAGCGTAGAATTTTTTTTTGTTTCTCACGAAAAAAATGTTGTAGTAGATGTTGTTGTAAATGTAAAAAAATCCTCCTTGTATTGAAGGAAGACTTAGTAATGAGATTTTAAAACAACTAAAGAAAATAAGTATATGTTAATCATATAGCTTTTTTTCCCAATGCACACTTTCATTCCCATTTTCACCCTCATATGGCATGATTTCCGGGAAAAAGTATCCTATGTCCTTCCCAGGGTCTCAAACTATCTTACTAAATTTCATCTAAATCGGTTCAGTAGATCCAGAGATTACCCCCTACAACGTCACAAACTTTACCTCTTTATAATATTAGTATAGGTATACATTTGCATGTACTCCAGGGCATGGTGGACTGCTACTTAGGCCTGGACCAGCCGTTCACAGCGCTCCGTCTGCTCGGCGAGCACGACGCCGACATGGAGGAGCTGACGGCTGAGCCGCTGTGGCGGCTGGGCAGGTTCGACCAACTAGAACAACTGACTAGTAAATCTGTGGTAAGCTGTGTTTGGATATTCATTTATTTCATGTGCTATTTTAATATATATATATATATATATATATATATATATATATATATATATAGATGGTAGGTACCTGTTAAATAAATTTCGGCTTCAGCAAAAAAAATAATAATAATAGGGAATATGCTTGTTATTTTTTTATACAATAGATTATATCGTTTTATAATTGTAAAAAAAAACCAACTCCAAAAAAATCCTTTAAAAATATTATATCAAATGCCCACCACCATTTTGGCGGGCTTGGCGTGACGTCATAGTCCATAATAACAGTCAGTGTTTCAAAATTTAGACATTTTGTCGCTAAACATTACTAGTTTTGCATAAGCAAAAGTCGTACTTTTTAGCGCTAAATTGGCAATTTGTTATTCTCAACTCTGACGTCACATTCGGTCTATCCAATAGTGTTACGTTTCAAATACTTCCCACCTATATTTGCAATTTATAATATTTTTTTCTCAATCAAAAAAAAAATTACACTAAAAAATATTAATATAGGCTTACTTCGAAATCAATAAAGATTATAAAAAAAGTATTTTACCTTTAATTTAAATTACACATATTCTTTAATAGACCAGGGTAGAAGCCTTTAAAAATAATAAAAAGTGAAAAAAAAAAATAGTAGGATGCAACCCATTAGAAAAGGAGGGGAATATTATAAAAATGAAAGGAAAAATAATTTACGGGCGATCTGAGGTCGGGAAGGGGATGGGGGTCCGTTTTTAAGGGTAAAAAACGGTTTTTCTCGATTTCCGGCAAAACTAAAAGTCTTATCGAAAAAAGTCATATGGCAAAGTTGTAGGTAATAAAAAGATCTAAAACTTTTGTATTTACACTTTTTTCACATAACCTCAAAATTTATGTGAAAAAATCAAAAAACCATGTTTTTGGTTTTTTATTTTTATCTTTTACAAAAAAAAATTTTTTTGAACGAAATTTGGTGAAAACATACCTTTTTATGTCCCAAATACGCTGTAATTTATTTGATTAAAAATATTTATTTTTTCACCTTATTTTGAATTAATATCGAAAAAGCACCCTCATTTTCAATCGAAAATTCACCCGTCAAAATATCAGCTTTTTTCAAAAAGTTGGTATGTTTTCTATTCGTTGAAATCTCTGCTTTCCGATGGTGAAAAAAAATTATATGTTACTATAGTAAATCTTCTGAGAAAATGCAAAAAACAAAAAACCTTTTTTATTTCATACACTTGCTTATCATCTGCCTTATTGCAGATGATACAAACAGATTCATGCATACTGATAATCTGAAAAGACATAATCGAATTAATAATGCCTTCACTATTTTATCGTGAGTATACCCACATGAAAAAAAATTATTAAAGAAATAAATGTCAAAATGTATAAAAAATATATTATAAATATATTAAAAGTTTAAAATATATTTTAGCCACCATCACGCGAAAATTGGGGATTGCTAATGGGTCGAATTCTACTTGCTTATCGCAAACAGGATCACGATGTCTTTAAAATAACATGTGACGAAGCAAAGAGTAAGTTATTGTTACAAATGGATGGTGAAAGTAGGGGCGAGAGTGCTCTTAAAAGTGGATACCAAAGTGTGTTAGGACTGCACATTATTACTGAAGCGGGACATGCTGAAGAGGTCTTGAGAAGGTAATGTGATAATTAGAGTTACTTATAATTTACTAGTTACGTCATTAAAACGTTTAGTAAAGATTTATCAGATATGAGATATTTTCCTGCAGTAAAAAGTATCCTATATGTTGACTCGGATAACCAGCTATAATCATACCGAATTTCGTTAAAATCTGTCTAGTGGCTTTCTTGTGATGCGTTCCCAGATAGACAGACAAACTAAAATAAAACTATAGATTGGCCTCTGTATCCATAATAATAACTATTTCAATAAGATTTTCCAAAATATATTTAATATATAGATATGAATTAGTTAGAATTTTATTATATGTATAGATTGGTATTAAGCATTAAAAGGTCTTGAAATGGCTTTTCTCTATTCTTATAACGTTCTTGTAAAGCGCCATCTATTGAAAAGTTTTTAACTAAAGGTTTTGTTTGAATAACATTAAATAACGCATTACCATACAAAATGTATGTTTAGTCCAGGACATGTTTTTTCTATGACTTATTTTTTTTTTAGATTAAAAGAACTAAATGATGATAACAAACAAGGTGCCGATATTATAAATCAATTACTGAGTGAGTGGCGATTGAGACTATCGCTGGTGCAGTCCGACGTGCGGACGGTCGAGCCGCTGCTGAGATTGAGAAGAATACTCCTGCAACAAACACAGGTAAGATTTAAATATAAATGCAAAAATTGTAAGTGATTGAGCAATCGTGTGTGCGTCGGTGCATGTGTGTATGGTATGTATGAACTCAATAGATTTAAGCCTAATTACGATTTACCGTCGTTTCGCTCTTGTTCGAAGCGGTAGCTAGGGAGTTGTTTTAATTTTTGGGAGTGGAACCCTAATTCTTTTTCTAAAGTTAAGGTAGCCTAAGTTACTCTTTATTCCTAGCACTCTCTATTCCTATCACTCTCATACTCCGGTGGGACGACCATTCGACACGACCAGTGAGAGTGTCGGCGCAGGACCGACGGCTTTACGTGCTCTCCGAGGCACGGGGGTGAAACACCGCCAACTTCCCAACTCTGGGCTGTTACTGAGACTTACTATACAGGAAGACTCAATAACTAAACCTGGCCCGACCCAGGACTCGAACCCAGGATCTCCGGGTGTGCAGCCGTACATGTTAGCCACTACACCACCGAGGCAGTCATATATATATATATATAGATTCGGGATGGAGATATTTTGTAACCTGGATTAAGGTAGACTGTTTTTATCGTGGCGCTTACTGTGCGACCAAAAACGACATAATTCACATATATCGTTAATGTAAAGATTTGGCATAAAAATATATTAAGTGAAAGACGTTTCCCTTCAATTTATAAAATCTACCGCATTCTTTTGTTTTGAACTTATAAATAGGAAAAAGTCTTATATTAAAAAAAAAAATTTTGTTTAGGAATTGCTGGAGCCAACTCATCCTGTCACTGCTAGCAATCTGAAGGCGTGTATAGGAGACTTATGGCTCGAAAGTGCAAAACACGCGAGGAAAGCGGGGATATATCAACAAGTAAGTTCAATGATTTTGAACATTAAACACCGCTTCCCAAATGCAATGTCCCAATACACTATACAAATATATTAATTAGCTTATGTGTCATTCGCGATTTACCCTCGCTTCGCTCTGGTACGTCCGTCCCATGAACGAATTAAGCACTGGACCAGACATATAAGCGGACGTACCTTTAACGGTCATGTCAGTAACCAGGGAATTTTAGCCTAGGTTGTTTGTTTCTTGTGTCAGTCTCAAGCACTTATTGTCAACAAAACATCTCCCAAAAATGACAAAATGTTCTGTTAAATGGTGTAAAAACTATAACGGCGGAAGCAGCACTATTTCTTTTCACTTGTAAATACATTATTTTATTACATTTATTGTTATTTATCACAAAATTTAATTAAATGTAAAATAAAATGTCATATTATCCAACTATGTTAAATATAGTCGATATTTCTATGTATTATTGACATCTGACAACCATCATAAACGGGCTGGATTATACCATTCAGAACAAATGACAAAACTATCGAGTGAGTCCATTTGACATCGACTAGTGCTTGACAATGTCGAAAAATATGTCGATATTTGACGAAATAACTGAACGAATTGTGTTGTTTGTACAGTACAATAACATAAAATACTTTTATCACAGTATTCTACAATCTGATGACAATAAATTTATAAAAATATTTTCTAAATGAAATAAAAATATAAATGCAAAAATTATAATTAGTATGTGTACTCAATTTTTTATTTTATTTTATACCACATTTATATACTTTGGAATATTATTCCATTGTAATAATAATAAAGATCATTTTATTTCAACACATAAATTACACAAAATCAAACAATAATGTTTAAGCACTAAACTTCTGGGTTGGCGATTTGTAATAAAACACTTTACCACTTGCACTAATTATTTTACTTTCACGATCCAACTCACTTTTTCACAATTTGCAATCACTTTTTCTTTTTCCTAATTTCACAAATGTTTATTAATAACTGAGCAATATTAGGACAGTGTCACATTTTTATAACTACCCGAGACAATCAATTGCCAATTAAAATAGTTCAATAACAGAATCAACAAAATCACTTTATTTAATTAAATTAGCTTAATATTTTTTTAATCTTTACAAAATAATATTTATTATATATTAATGGAATATACACCCGATATTCATTTGTTTATTAACATTATTATAGGCTAACAGAATGTTGCCATCAATGCCATCGTATTTTATATAAATCAAATTAAAAAATAATTATTATTTGACACATTATTATTGCCTCTTTAATTCATTTATTTTAATTTATTATAATAAATACAGATATTTTAAATTAAAAGATGTAAAATATGATGACTATGCTAACCAATGTCTAAAATGTCATTCATTGGTTCATCGATATATGTATTTTATCGATTACGTTCAAGCACTAGAAATATTGTATTGTGTATCAGTGTTTATAATAATGTAATAAAATCTTTGTGTGCGTCACTTGGTTGAACTAGTTTTCATACATTTGTATTTTATGTCAGGTCCAGTCTCTAATTCTTCCATGGTCCGTCCCTAGGTGCATTCACCTCTTTTCTTGGGGTTTGTCTCAGTACTACCCGTCTTAATGGGGCGTCGCAGGATCGCTTACGCATTCAACTACGACGCCCCGACGGCAGGTCTGCCAAAGCAGACCACCACAACCATGGGGTTGCTCCACAGTCCACTCTGCTATCAGAGAAGTACCAGGAGCAACCCGCATGGTCCCTGTGCGTTTCTTAGCTTCGCGCCCGGTTGGATTGCCGGGCACTACTGAGCCCCCCCACCACGACAAGGTGAACGCACATTGATGCGTAAGCGATCCTGCGACGCCCCATTAAGACGGGGTTTTGTTGGGTTTTAGTGGGTAGTACTGGCTGTATTACGCCGGTGAGTCCCACACGTCGTGCGTAAATGCATTTCCCAACGTTAAAAAAAAGGGCTCATTTGCTTTAACGACCAATACTTGTACTTTACTGTAGAGTTTATTTGGTCTATTTTAAAAACAAATCTTTTTGTCTGATATTTATATACATACGTTTACATATTATATAGATAAAATACATTCTTTAGGATATATTAAAATTAAATTTGTATTTAATAACAATAGAATTGACATTTAATAATTAATAATTCTATATTAAAAACTCTTTCGGTAAATCAGTTGTTTGAACAAATAAGCGTTGAGACTGATGCGCACACACACACACACACACACACACACACACACACACACACACACACACACACACACACACACACACACGTCTCAACACATTTATTTTTTTATTCCAGTCATACATGTACATACTGAACGCGGAAGAGTACAAGCCGGAGGAGCTGTTCATAGAGAAGGCGAAGATGTACTGGGCGCGCGGCCAGCACGAGCACGCCTTCACCGCGCTGCGGCGCGGCCTCGACGACGCCTTCCCGCGCGAGGACGCGCTCGCGCAGGAGCAGAGGTCAGGCTAGTGCGGCTGCAGAGCCGGGGTCTAGGGTCGAGTCCCGGGTTGGGCCAAATGTTATTACTGATAATATATCCTGTGCAGATTGCTAATCTTAGTGATACAATCGTATTATCGTTAGGGATCTGTAGCGAAAATTTAACAAATTTTCGAAATACTTGTAAACCCGCGCTTGGTTAGCTTGATTGACTTTGGCCTAACCCTGTTCAAAACGGCCAAAAAGAACTGAATACACACATACAGCCAAAAGACAATACCATAAATTAATTTTTTTTTTGTATTAAAATGAATCCTGGGCAAACATTACATTTTATTTTTAACGTTATAACTAAACGGCTATGGTCCACTACAGTGGCCCAGTGCGGGTTGTTGGAGCTCAAACCTCTTTTTAGGACTAGTTCTAAGAAATTTACAGTACCCTTCTAAATATTTCCATCAATAAAAGATTGCCTCAGGTGATACCGTCATGTATACATACGTACTTAAGATTAAGTGTTTGAGTGGCTATTAAAATTTGGTCTTTACTATAGTAATAGTTAAGACTAAATTTTAACAGCTACTAAATATTATATTTGCATATATTTCTACACAGGAAAATTTGTGCAAAGGCAAGACTTCTTATTGCGAAATATAACGATGAAACCACAAAAGTAGATGTTGATGTTAATATCGGATATTACAAAGAATCTGTTGAAGTGTTTAAGCAGTGGGAAAAAAGCTTGGTAAGTATACTTATTTAATAATTTTGAATTCTAGAGAAAGGTGTATGTGTGTGAGCGAGTAAAAAAAAAAACGTGTAAGTAAAGTCTTGTAAGTAAAGTCTTGCCGCGTGGTGTCCGGCATAGAATAGCACCACCCCTTTTCTAGCCGAGGGTGTCGTAAAAGGCGACTAAGGCATAAATACCGGAGGATGGGCAGCAGCATTTTCCGAGGGCACGCGCTAGTAACTGCGATCGCCAACCCGCCTGCCAAGCGTGGCGATTATGGCAAATTCCCCCCAGAATGGCGAACGTACAAAACCGGCCCCCAGTACCCGGCAGCTCCACTATCCCTGGTCATGGTAGCGGCCTAGGTAACGGTGGGGCAGGGGGTGCGAAGAATCTCCGGATGAGATCGGGCTACCACAAACGACGACTTGACCTGGCAACACTAAACACGCGCACACTGCGGACCGACGAGAGGATTGCTGAACTTGAGGAAGAATTGAGCAGGTTACGATGGGATATTGTGGGGTTATCGGAGGTTCGAAGAGAGGGTGAGAACTCAATAACGCTCAAATCTGGTAACCTGCTCTATTTCCGGGAAGGCGACCAACAGTCCCAGGGCGGTGTCGGGTTTATAGTCCACAAGTCTCTCGTGAACAACGTGGTAACTATCGGGAGCGTGTCGACCAGGGTGGCGTACCTTGTTCTGCGAATAACGAAACGTTATTCCTTAAAAGTGGTTCAAGTGTATGCCCCGACCTCAACACATCCTGATGAGGAGGTGGAGGTCTATGTATGAGGACATTAGTTAGAGCCATACATAGCTCCAAAACCCACTTCACCATAGTCATGGGAGACTTCAACGCGAAATTAGGCGAACGAGAAGGGTTTGAGCTGAGAGTGGGGCAATTTGGATTTGGATGTCGAAACCAGCGGGGACATTCACTTGCGGGCTTCATGGAGAAGGAGGGACTCTTCATGATGAACTCCTTTTTCAAGAAAAGAAACCACAGGAAGTGGACGTGGATGAGCCCTGATGGTGCAACTAAAAAACGAGATAGACTTCATCATGTCGACGAAAGAAGCAAATATTCAGTGATTGTCTCTGTGATCAATTCGTTCAAAACTGGAAGCGATCACCGACTTGTAAGAGGCACATTAAATATTAGTGTAAGGCTTGAACGGTCTCGACTGATGAAGTCCACGCTCCGACCAGCGCCACACCAAATTCAAAACCCCGAGAGCTTTCAGCTCGAGCTGAAAAACCGCTTCGATTGCCTAGACAGTGATGTGGACACTTATAATGACGGGTTCGTGGAAGCTGTCCAATCAGTTGGGTCTAAGCACTTTAAAAGTCTCTCAAAAAAATAGACCCAAAAGGATCTCCGATTCTACTCTAGAGCTCATGACGGAAAGGAGAGGGATGATCTTGCAGTCGCTGGATGATGCGTTTCAAGTACCGGCAACTTAATAGACAGATTTTCTAAAGTCCCTAAGGCGTGACCTTCGCACCTATAATACTGAGCGTATTATAGACGCAATAGAGCGGAACAAAGGCTCCAAAGTTTTCGCGAGGGATCTGTCTATTGGACAAAGCCGGCTAGTGAAGCTCAAAACCGATGACGGTAGGATCATTTCATCTAGTCCCGAGCTTATGGGAGAGATCGAGAGATTTTATGGGCAGCTCTTCACATCAACGCGACAACCCATTAGTCTGGACAACGATCCAAGGGGCCAGACTAACCCGACACCATACGAAGAAATCCCGGACGTCAGCCTGAGCGAGATTAGGGTGGCTCTCAAACAGCTCAAGAAACAACAAGGCACCGGGTGCAGATGGAATTACGGCCGAACTTCTGAAGGCGGTGGAGAACCGATCCTTATGGCCCTTTCAGAAGTTGTTTAATTCCGTCATACTCCAAGGAAAAAACCCCACGAGCATTGAGCAGAAGCATAGTGGTACTGTTCTTTAAAAAGGGCGATAATGCCTTGCTAAGAACTACAGGCCCATATCGCTTCTGAGCCATGTCTACAAGCTGTTTTCGAGAGTCATTACGAACCGTCTTGAATGCAGGTTTGACGACTTCCAGCCTCCCGAACAAGCTGGCTTCCGTAGAGGTTTTAGTACCGTAGACCACATTCATACGCTGCGGCAGGTTTATACAGAAGACCGAAGAGTATAACTTGCCTCTTTGCTTTGGCGTTTGTGGACTACGAAAAAGCCTTTGATTCGATCGAGACTTGGGCTGTGCTGCAGTCTCTCCAGCGGTGCCAAAATCGACCACCGGTATACCGAAGTGTTGAAGTGTTTGTATGAAAACGCCACTATGTCAGTCCGTCTCCAGGAGCGGGACTCGAGACCCATCCAATTGCAGCGAGGAGTACGACAGGGTGTGTCATCTCGCCGAAATTGTTTACCGCTGCATTGGAAGATGTCTTTAAGATCCTGAAATGGAACGGACTAGGCATCAACATTAACGGCGAGTACATCACTCACCTTCGGTTTGCCGACGATGTAGTGGTTATGGCTGAGACCATGGAGGACATCAGTATAATGCTCAATGACCTCAATAGTGTCTCCGAACGAGTTGGTCTAAAAATAAACATGGATAAGACGAAAATTATGTCAAATGTCCATGTTGCAACCACTCCAGTTTATATCGGTGATTCTATGCTCGAAGTTGTAGACGAGTATGTATACCTGGGACATACTGTCCAGCTAGGTAGGTCCAACTTCGAGAAAGAGAGGTCAATCGACGGATCCAACTCGGATGGGCAGCCTTCGGAAAACTACGCAACATCCTCTCGTCCCGAATACCGCCAGTGTCTCAAGACAAAGTCTTCGACCAGTGTGTGTTGCCAGTAATAACATACGGCACAGAGACGTGGCCGCTCACGATGGGCCTCATAAGAAAGCTCAAGGCCACACAGAGAGCAATGGAAAGGGCTATGCTTGGGGTTTCCCTGCGAGATCGAATTAGAAATGAGGAGATACGCAGAAGGACCAAAGTCACCGACATAGCCCTCAGAATATCCAAGCTCAAGTGGCAGTGGGCGGGGCACATCGCTCGTAGAACGGACGGTCGTTGGGGACGGAAAGTTCTGGAGTGGCGGCCACGTACCGGAAGGCGAAGCGTGGGTAGGCCTCCCACAAGGTGGACCGATGACTTGGTCAAAGTCGCTGGAGTCCACTGGATGCGGATGGCGCAAGACCGGTTGTCGTGGAAATCTTTGGGGGAGGCCTATGTCCAGCAGTGGACGTGTTTGGGCTGAGACGACGACGACGAAGTAAAGTCTGATTAGTCCTTAAATAATAAGTCATATTAAGTCAATCAATGTATTATGTGTATTTCAAAATATTTTGTGGAATGTTAAAAAATCTTTAATATCCCATTTTTGGGCCCGGGCCTTTCATTAATATGAACAGGATCAGGTCATAGTCCCCCACGCTGGCCAAGTGCAGGTTGGCGGACTTCACATGTCTTTCGAAAACTTGCTAAGTTCTCTCAAACATGCTGGTTTTCTCACAATGTTTTCTTTCACCATAAGACAGAAAAAATATGTGGTGGTGATGACAAAAAATATGTGGTGGTGATATGGTGAGGTGTGATACCCAGGATTTGAACCCGCTTTATTAAGTTTCACAAGCGAGCACGTTACCACTGGGCTACCACTGTCTCTACACTTATCTTTATATATATAATTCTTCTGTCAGTGTGTATGTCACTGAACTTCTCTCAAACGACTGGACCGATTTTGATGAAATTTTTTTTGTGTGTTCAAGGAGATCTGGGTATGGTTTAGATTCACAATTTGAATAATAATTTTTATCAAAAAAATTATTAAAAAAAGTTTGAAATTTTCAAATTAAAGACGTGTAGACAGGACAACGTCTGTCGGGTCCGCTAGTTTAGTATATAATTGTAATTATTGAAATATGACTTGAGTATCCTGTAAATAGATAATGTAAGTTTATGTGTACATAAAACTTAACTTTAATAATAAAATAATAATTTTATCTAATATTTTGCCTGCTGTGATTGTCTGTAAGTAGGAAAGCATTTAATCAATGTACTAGTAGTATATTTCAGATTATCATGTAATAATGTATTTTTTGTTGACGACCCTAAATAAATAAATAAATAAAAATAAAATAACGTAATATCATACAAGTTATATAATTAATTAATTTCTTAGGTATGTCTCGGCTCGTACTATGAGAGAGCCAGCAGCAACGACTCTACGGCGAGTCCCAGCACGGTCTGGACGAGGCGCCTCTACGCCCTCAACAGCTACGGCAAGGCGCTGCAATATGGCCACAAGTATTTGTATCAAAGTATGCCGAGGATGTTGTCGATATGGTATGTTCTTAGCTTATTTAATGAGTTAGTTTTGTTAGAAAATAAAAATGTTGTGATAATACAATAAGGTCCTATATTTCAAAAAATCATGCATGAATACAAAATTATAATTAGATCAAATATTTATGAAGTTACACTCCTTTTGGGACGTTTGGGAAAAAATATGAGAGTTAAAGTTTTTGCGATGCGCGTGCACAACTAAAACGCGCCATGATAAAGTTAGCAGATAACCGTTTGTTGCCATGGTAACCGTTGTTATTGTCTGACGAATGATATATATTATATTCTTTCCTTAAATGATATTCTATAAATATATGATTGTAATATGCCTAATTCGATTATTTTATTAATTTATCATACCTTTTACAAACAGAGAGTTGTGACATCTTTAGCTATTTTTGTTCTGTTACGCCAAAGTTGTATAATTTCTTACGTGCGTACATAAGTACACACACGTTTATTATTATTATTGTGTTACCTTTATTTACATGATTTTTTTTAAATTCAATATTATATTCTTTTCTTTATTGCACTTAAAATATGATACATAAAAAAATAACAAAAATAAACATAGTTCACAAAGGTGGACTTATCTCTAAAAGAGATCTCTTCCAGTCAACCCCTGGATGTGGAAGAATATGTTAGCGGGCAATATAGTGCAAAAAATATATTAACTACACAATATTACTTTTATGAAATAAAAAATATATTAAAATGAATTGCGTCGTACTTAAAGAATTTAATGTGCTTTTTTTATTTTAGGCTAGATGTAGAGGTAACTTCGGCAGACACAAGCATACATTCAGTGTTGGCTCAAATGACGGAAATTATAACAACTTATTCTGAAAGGCTGCCCATTTACTTGTTTTTGACGGCTTTCTCGCAGATTGTGTCCAGAATATGTCACCCTGTTAAAGAAGTGAGTATAAAATGATAAATAATGTTAAAATGGATATATAAAATAAAAAAAATAAGTAGGTCTTTACGTAAAAACATTGAATAAACGTTTTTAGGTGAAATTATTAAGAACAATCAAAATTTGTCAAAATCAATTTTTAAGCTTATTACGAAATCTCTGAAATATTCTTTAAATAAAAAATAATATAATAATAATTTAAAATCACTGTTTCGTAGTATTAATTAAAGAGAAAATTATACGTATGTTATTTCATGACTCCCAATTTCAAACCAGGTGTATCTCCAACTAAAAGCCATAATAGTGAAGTTAATCCTCGCCTACCCACAACACACGCTGTGGATGATGATGAGCGTGATCAAGTCCGGGTACCCGCAACGCCTCAAGCGCTGCAGCGATGTGTTCTCCGACCCGCGTCTAAAGGAGCCGAAAATGTTAAAGCTGCTGAATGATTTCCAGCAGCTCGCTGAGAAGTTGATTGAGTTGTGCAACAAGCCTATCGCTACGAACGGATCGGTTTGTTTTTGTTCAATTTCAAAGATATTTATTTAAATATATTTTAAATATTGTACGCGAGAGTAACGTCTAAATTGTTTTTTTACGGGGTATTCGTAGCGTAGCGATTTTAGTTTACTACAAAAAGATACCACGTTTGTAATTTTTTTAGACTACATGAAACATTCTTATAAACTAATTCTAAATTCGTTCATAATATAAATAATTTCACATAATTTGTAATATTAAATGTAAATAAGTAAAAATGAAAGAAGTTGTAAGATCTAAAATATAAAATGTGCTGATTCTTAGTCTTGTCATTTTGTTCATTTATTTCTCGCTGATTTTGCCGTGCTAAGTAAATTTTATTTATTATTATTTATGTTCCATAAATTAAGGTAAGTACAACATTAAATGACATAAACTTAATAATTAAAATATATCAACTAAATATTATAATTACACAAAAATAAATATATTTGCACACACACATATATACATAACAACATATTATATACTTAAATATACGTTATTTATAACTGATTTATTTACGCAGACAACGACAGTGTCATCCCTCGTGCGGACTCTCCCACGACTGTTAGCGTCGGAGGGCTTCAGCCACGTGATGATACCGTTCCAGCAGTTCTGCCGCGTGTCGCTGCCGAGCGCGGCGGCGCGGCGCCAGCGCGTGCAGCTCCACATCCCCGCTGAGCCCCTGGTACACATCGCCGGCATCGACGACCAAGTCACCGTACTGCCCTCGCTGCAGAAGCCCAGGAAGGTCACCTTGAGAGGTTAGTCTCCTGCCATAGTCTACTGATCGATACAGTTCTCTAACAAAGGCGTGACAAGCAATCATGTGTGGGAAGAAGATGAGCGCGGGGCTTTGTGGGTATTTAGCGGGGCACGGGGGGGGGGGTGTAGGGTGAGATGCGAGCGAGGAGCATCAACTGTTATACGTACTCTATATGAAAGTTAAGTGGCACGGCGCGGGCACATGCACCTTCATTTCTTCGCTTATCTCTTGGTACATATGGCCGGTATCGACAACTATGTCACTGTACTACCTTACCTGCACAAGTCCAGGAAGGTCACCTTGAGAGCTTAGTACTTCGACCAAAAAACCAATCCATACATTCCTCTAACAAAAGCGCCTAGAGAGGCAATCATGAGGGTGTACCTGTACAGGGGTAAACGCGGTAAAAGCGCACCCGACTTTCATACGTAATTTTATATGAAAGTTTGATAGCGCGGCTCGTCCGCATGCACCTCCGTTTGTTCGCTGATCCCCTGGTACACATGGCCTGTATCGATAACCATGTCCCGGTACTATCGTTCCTGCAGGTCACCTTGTGAGGTTCCCGGGGGAGAAGCCAACTCCTACCGGGCTCCCCAGGTGGCGGATAGGGGAATGCCACCCGCTTAGGGCGGGTGGTACCGGAGAAATCCGGCGCGGACCAAATGGCTTGGATGGGGCCGCTCGTCTAGGCCTCGAGCCGAAGACGTTGCGGCCACCGGTGGTGGGACCGCTTGGTCCCACAACCGGATGATGGGTGCCGGTTGCGGGACTGTGGTCGCAGGCCCGCATTCGGCGGAGGGGTAGGCCGCGGCGGGAGAGGAGTGCCGGTATTTCGGTGCGCCGTTCTCCCTACCTTCCGCGGCCTAGACGGGGCCGCCACCGTTTGATGGCGGACGCGGTGGGGCTGCAGGGGAAGAGGAGTGTCGGTGTTTCGTTGCCGCTCTCCCTGTCCTCTGCAGCCGATTGGAGGTGGCCCACTTCGGTGGGCGGAGGTTCGGTTTTATGGAGCTGCTCCGGGTACCTCTCTGGTGTAGCAGAGTTGACTGTGGAGCAGCCCCATCGGTGTGGTGGTCAGCCGTTGGCAGACCTGCCGCCGGGGCGCCGTAGTAGTTATGCGCAAGCGATCCTGCGGCGTCCCATTAAGGCGGAGGGGAGGGGAATGTCGGGTTTTAGTGGGTAGTACCGGCTCTTCTAGCTGGTGAGCCCCACATCACCACCTGGGGGATCAGGTGGTATGCGTAAATGCATTTCCCGACATAAAAAAAAAGGTCACCTTGTGAGGTTAATACGTCAGCTCTAATTCCCTACTCTTTCATGGCTTCCCTTAAATGCGAGCGAGATTAAGCCATGTCCATTGGATAGTATTGGGATTTTCAAGGGGTGGGTCACTATTTAACCACTTGTTGTAACCTAAAAAAAAGGCTGGCTATGGCCTTTTCCTCACACGCTGGCCGAAAGCGGATTGGCGTACTTTACAAGTTTTTCGTAAACTTCTACCAGACCTAGATTTACACCTGACGATGTTTTCCATAATAATAATATAGGTAAGTTAAAATTAAAATTTGCATATAAAAATTTCGGGAGCACGTAACTTATGTTTGAACTAATTAGTCATAACGATGACAGGTTGTTGCTCGTATTTCTTATTTGTCTGCTTGTTGATAATTCTACAGTAAATAAGACAAACTGAAAAGTAAATGACTCGTGAGTCATTATGGCATCATTCAATTCATCTTAAAGAGTAGAAGGTCATTGATTGTATTACGTTCACATTTACCTTTTTAATTCACTTAATCGTGCAATTATGTTTTTTCTGTAACAGTCACGCCAAAACTAGTAAGGAGGTTTCTTACGATATTATAAAAAAAATATTGTTCATTATACGTCAACAGATAACACTAGTATTCAATACTAACATTATTTTTTGTACTTACGTTGTATTATATTGTGATGTCTTATTTATTGTAAGTCGAGATCTTACAGTGAACTGCTCATATTTTACATGCAATCAAACCTCAGTGGAGAATATCTTTTTATTTTTACTGATCATACTCTATCGTGTCTTCTCGATTCTACGCGACATTGGCAAAGTAAACTGTGTTCAACTGGCACGTCCAAAAGCCATAAGACACGGAATAATAATAATAACACTAGCATCCTACTAATATTATAAATGCGAAAGTTTGTGAGGATGTATAGATCTGTAGTCTGGATGTATAAATGTGTGGATGTTTGTTATTCTTTCACGCAAAAACCACTAAATGGATTTTAATGAAACTTTACAATAATATATTTCATACATCAGAATAATGTAGGCTACTTTTTATCTCGGAAAAATGTACGGTTCTCATGGAATAGATTGGTTTTTGTTAAATAAAACTATCATTACGGAATTTTTTGCAGATTTATTTTGATTATTAGTTCCCTCTTTCAAATGTTTTTTTGAAACGTCTAAAACCTTAGACCTCTTTCGTGACCATGATTGTTGTAAAGCATTCGAAACGTCGGGAACCAAAAATCAAAATAAATCCGCGAAATACTCCGAAAAGATCGTTTTATTTTTAAAAGGTCAAATGTTTGCGTAAATCTAAAAAAGTATTAACACTAGCATAAACAAATACATTATATATAAATATATATATATATATATATATATATATATATATATATATATATATCTATTATCTATTCATAACTTTATATGTTTATGACTATCTTAAGAAATCTATTTTACTTCACACAGGTACGTACATACATAGATGATACATAATATGTATGGTACCGTACGGTGTAATTTGTCATAATCACTACCATTTATTACTGTCCAATTGTGGTACTTAAATATAAATTTCCTTATTGCCTGAAAAATATAATTCAATATTTTCAATCGAGTTCGTGAGGCTTTAATCATTTTTAGCAATTTTATTTCTTTTCTCTCAACTTCCTGGTACATTAAGTTTATTGATAAAATTAAAGTTTTTGTCACACTCCACTTCTGTCGCTCGGATAATAAATATTTTCGTATTAATAAAGCAAAAAAACAAACTTGTATTCTGTTCGTGCATGCGAAGAATTAAAAATAAATATTTGTTTAGTGTATTATATTGAAAACGGCGTCAACATCACGCTCCATTCCGTGTAGTGTAAACGCTAATGGAGTTTGGAAGTCAAGGTCGATGTTCTTATTAAAAGTTAATTATTTAACAGTTTTTCCGTGTACATTTTTGGTGAGTTTCTTCAGGACTGTAGTTAAGACTTTTAGCGAGTACAAGTAAGTTTCTAAATATAACTTTGTAGCGTTCGCTATCGCTCGCTCGAGTACCTCGCACTTGCAGTGCGTATTTGCAATTATGTACTAATATAATATGATATCGGCTATACAAAAATCATGTCGATGCGTCGATTCGTTGGTCTGTAAAAAAACCAACAAACTTATAAATTTAAAGCTTTAGTAAGTCGTGTCTGTTTGTTACATGTTTTGGGCTTAAACCAATCAACGGGTTTAGATGTCATTTGGTGAGGCATTAGGCATTTACTATGTATCTAGATTAATAATGAGGATTGGCATAGGCTACTTTACCACAACGTGCGTTCACATTGTCGTGGTGGGGGGGCTCAGTAGTGCCCGGCAATTCAGCCGGGCGCGAAACCAAAGAAACGCACAGGGAGATGGCCCGCTTCGGTGGGTGGTGGGAGATGTACCATGCGGGTTGCTCCTGGTACTTCTCTGATAGCAGAGTGGACCTTGGAGCAACCCCGTGGTTGTTGTGGTCTGCTTCGGCAGACCTGCCGTCGGGGCGTCGTAGTTGAATGCGTAAGCGATCCTGCGACGCCCCATTAAGACGGGGTTTTGTTGGGTTTTAGTGGGTAGTACTGGCTGTATTACGCCGGTGAGTCCCACACGTCGTGCGTAAATGCATTTCCCAACGTTAAAAAAAAGGCTACTTTTTATCAAGGTCTGCGCACCAATGCTCACTACACGTGCGAAGCCGCGGGTAAAATATAGGTGAAGAATAAGCAACATCATTAATAATAATTAATTAAGAAAATATTGACTGAATTAATGGTTTTTGAATAATGAATCTTATAATGGACTACCCACTTTCCCTCGTTTCGCTCGGGTCCATCCCTGGATACGTTTAAAATAGATCAAAATAGTTATTGCGAGTGTACGTCAGGAGATAGACATATGCCATTGTGGACTTTTCTATAGGCCTTTTTAAGACTTATACTTTTCTAGTACATTGTTTTAATAAGGTTTAGGCGGCGTTAGCCATATATATTTCTAAGGACGACCCGACAGAAACAGTTATTGTGGTTTCCCGTGGGAATGAAAGATTCTCCTCTAGTAAAGAATAATTATGTATTTATAGAAAAAAATATTTTCTAGGTTCTGATGGAAAAGCTTATATAATAATGTTGAAACCACGTGATGATCTACGAAAGGATTTCCGTTTGATGGAATTCAACACGGTAGTGAACAGGTTCCTCCAAGACGACCCCGAGACACGTCGCAGGAGACTGTACATAAGGACTTACAGTGTGCTGCCGTTGAATGAAGAATGTGGAATTATTGAATGGGTTCCGAATCTAGTGGGCTTAAGACCTGTGTTGTTGCACATTTACAAACAGAAAGGTTAAATTTTTATTTTTTATTTTATAATGTTTGTTAATTATATATAGCTTGTTTAAAGATTGAGAAAGTTACGTTTTGATTATAAAAAAATAATTAAAGAAATTTATGGGTCGAATGTTATTTTTTGATATTTATATGTGACCATTGAGGTATAACTTATAAAAAAGAAGAATGATAAAAATCGGTTTATAATTAGCAAAAATATAGTGTAACACACACAAAATTTCTCTTTCTATAATTTTTCAAGTCGTTTAAGAATTGTTCAGTTTATAAAATTGAACAATTAGTATCATTTTTTTAAATAATAAGTTACTTTTTGTATAATTATATTCCCATTCATTAAATAAAAACTAACACAAAATAATCCTACATTAGGCATGCACACGAGTAATCGCGAGCTGAAAGTGATGATGTGCTTGAAGAAGGACTCGTACGAGAAGAAGCGTCGCATTTACGAGGAGCAGCTGTTGCCGCGACACCCGCCGGTGTTCCAGGAGTGGTTCCGTAGAGTCTTTTCTGACCCATACGGATGGTTAGAAACTGATTACGCTTACCTTATATCATGATTTTGTTTTGAAAGTTAAAAAAATGTATAAGCTGTTAAAACCAATCAAATGTGATTATTGATGAGTTCCACTATCCTTCACTTCTTCGTTTCTTCTCCTTCTTCTTCTTACACTCTCTTCGACAGATCGATGATAGATTTTAACAAATCTATCAATTTTGGGAGATCTTTAAATCTAATAAATATCGCTTGAAATCACATCTAATGACTTAGATGAGGTGAAATCGAATTTCAAGTGATTACTTACATTAACGAGTAATTCGCGAGGGTTTCAATGAAGTTTTCATCTTCATTTTATTACCCAAAATAGGTATATAAGATGAAAATTCTGTGAACATGTGTGTATAATAAATAATGTTTCGCAGGTACCAGGCCCGGTCGGCATACATCAGGACAACGGCAGTAATGTCTATGATAGGATACATTTTGGGTAAGAATTACTACGGTCACATAATAGTCTATCAACGCAAGAACAATTTTTGAATGCTATCAGTCAAATCAAATCAAAATTATTTATTCAGCATTAAATTATTACAATTTTTTACTGAACGTCATGAGTCTACTACCAGTTCGGAAAGAAGAAGCCTCAGACCTGAGAAGAACTGGCGAAAGAAACTCAGCGGGATTAAAGTCAATATAATATATATGTCGCAGGGAAATTATAAGATCCGCTAAATTATAATTTCACTAGTGAAATTATAATTACCCGGGTTATTGTCAATCGTCGCCTTTTCTTACAATATTACGGGACATTTTTAGGTATATTGTAAGCACATTCAGTGAAATTGTGAAACAGTCACTGATTGGTCCCGATTTAAACATCTTTTTTGATACCCAACATAAACCATAGACTTAGTAAAATCAAGGAATAGATATGTAATATTTTAAATTATTAATCGTTTAATCATTATTCTTAGGTTTATTAGTAAATGTAAGTAGTTAATAAAAAATAATGTCACCTTGCGATATACGAGTGTACAGCGCTATTTTCTATATAGGAGAAGAGCATATAGTACAGATGGAACCAAACTTAAATAATAATGTTCTTCTGATCGATTTCGGCGACAGATGTTAATCTCTCTGAGACTAGCCATAACCCAGAAGATTATAGTGAAATGTACAGGCAGATACAACGTCGACTCTATTCCTGACACTGTCATACTCTTTAGCACGACCATGACTGGTGATCAGGATCAGAACCGACTCCGACTGAATCCGACTGATTCCGACCTCCTTAATACTCCGGGTTAATGCCCGGACTATTAAGACCGACCCAGAAGTCGAGCCCTAGTCAGTCAAGTCTAAGGTTATTTTTTTTGAAATTATACTTCTTTTGGCACGTTTGGAAAAAAGTATGAAAGTAAAATTTTTATGCGCGCGCACACCGACTTGCGATGCGATGCACACTTACGTGCGTACATAAGTATATGTTTTTTTTGTAAACTTAGGTCTAGGAGATAGACACGGAGAGAACATATGCTTCGACTCCACCAACGGCGACACAGTGCACGTGGACTTCAACTGCCTGTTCAACAAGGGCGAGTCCTTCGAGTATCCCGAGCGCGTGCCCTTCCGCCTCACGCACAACATGGAGGCTGCGATGGGCCCTCTCAAACACGAGGGCATGTATAGGTTAGGAAATAAAAATAAAATAAATCTATATATTAGTACGTGAAGCAAAAACTTTGTACCCCTTTTTACGAAACTTGCGTGGAGGGAGGAGTATGAAATTTCCCACACTTTAGTTTATATAGAGAAGAAGTGCAGAATGCACTCATATTGCTCATATTATGCTATTTTTAAGCTATTGCATAGCTTCTATCGCGGGCCTTGAGCGTGGGGACTGAATCCAGAAATTCCGTAACGAAAAAAACCTGACACCCCCCACTCCGACCGGCACAGCGGTGATACTTCCATCTATCGATAAATACCAGAACTTTTAATGACTTTTTGAAATATCACGCTTGTCTCTTTAGTTCAGCAACCCACCTTTAGGTGGCATTGGTTGTATTGGAAAACTACCGTAATCAGCTGTTTGTGAGAAAGTATATAGGTGTATAGGTATTTATTATCTATGTACAACAGTGAATATGTGTACTCGTATAATTTGTGTACAAAGTGTTTTAAATATGAATAAACAAAGTGCATTTATTAATGAAGAAAGTCAAGGAAAAAAAATACTGCATTAATAAAATAAATAAATAATTATAATTGCATATGTTGATAAAAAATGCTATGCAATAGCTTTATCGCGGCAGTCTCCGAGTGCCACATTTAATTTTTTATTGATTTAATGTATTTGTAATACATTAAATCAATAAAAAACACACTCTTTTGTTTATTGTTAAAGTCTGTGGTCAAATTGAGAATAATTTAATATTGTTTATAATTTGTTTCAAAATTATTTTGGATTTTATAGGCTATTAGCAGAACCCGCGACTTCGCTCGCGCTAAAACTACAAAGACAACTCTAAAATAGTAGGTTTCATACAAACTTTCATCCGCTATTTTACCCCATTTTATGGGATGAATTTTGAAAAATGCTAAAACACGTATTTAATTAATTGTATTGTAGAGTATTTATACCAAGTTTCGAGTAATTCTGATCATAAATATTTTTTTGGATCGTATTTATAACGCTTTTTCCCGTGGAAAAGAGACAATCTCCCGCCGTAAAAAGTAGCCTATGTCACTCTCCAACCCTTCAACTATCTCCACACAAAAAATCACGCCAATCCGCCAAGCCGTTTCGACGTAAAAGAAACACAAACAAACAAACAAACAAACAAACAAACAAACACTTTCACATTTATAATATTAGTATGGATATAATTTTGAAAAAAGATTCTCAATGTCGATCGATCTTAATGAATTATGTTAAAATTAATAAAAAATTATTAAAAATATATAAATAGTAGTATGGAAACAAAAATCCAAATAAATCCGCGACAAAATCCGAAAAGATAGTTTTATTTAAAATGTCAAATATTCGCGTAAATCTAAGAAAGTATTATATATGATAGTAATTAAAAACTTACTAATGTCTAGTTTTGTGATCCGTTCTGCCATATTTATTATTATTGCTTCATTTAAACCGATTATGCAGCGCACGCCGATAAACATACTTAACGACCCGTTTTTTCCTACTTAAATTAAAGTTATATATGTACAGTAAACACATTTTTATCGATATGTAAATTAGCACTCGGCGGTAATATATTTTCACTTTCTATTTTATATTAGTAAGAAAAAAATTCAGAATTGGATCAATAGTTTCAGCAATTAATAATTATCCTTTACCGAAACTTACAAACGAAACCTCTTTATATTATTAGTGTAGACGTATTGTTAATTTATACTAATATTATAAAGAGTTAAGTTTGTGAGTTTTTAGGGGGTAATCTCTGGATCTAATGAACCGATTTAGATGAAATTTGGTAAGAAGATAGTTTGAGACCCTGGGAAGGACATAGGATACTTTTATCCTGGAAATCATCCCTTAACGGGGTGAAAATGGAGATGAAAGTTTGTATTGGGAAGCAGGTTAGAGACGAACCCGAACGAAGCCAGGGTGAGTCCCTAGTAATCTATATGTCGTGTTATACATATTCTACCGACATCATCTTTAGTGGTTACTAATCTTGTGAGTGTTCTTGGAGCTCAAAGAATAAAAAAATCCATGTTCAATACACAATTTAATAAGGGAAATCACAATGTTATAAACTTGAAACGGTAATAGGGAATATGCGTGATCTTTTTTATTATTTTTATAAAATAGCTAATGTCGTTATATAATTGTAAAAAAAGATCCAGCTTCAAAAAACTAAAATTTAGTATACAATTAAAAAAATATATCATACCGATACGGATACTTTAAACGCCAGCCATTTCGTGAGCTTGGCGTGACGTCATCATATTCGGTCTGACCAATAATAGCGTGCGTTTCAACTACTTTGAAATTCCCACCTTAGATTTGCATTACACCTTATATTTTAAATTGACTCATAATATATATCTATATATATAAAAGAAAGTCGTGTTAGTTACACTATTTATAATTCAAGAACGGCTGAACCGATTTGGCTGAAACTTGGTGGGGAGGTAGCTTAGAACCAGGAGACGGACATAGAATACTTTTTAGCCCGTTCGACCGCGTTCCCGTATACAAGACTCAAGAACGGCTGGACCAATTTTTATGATATTTGAATTTTTGGATTTCTCTCATTCCGGAATAGGTTAGTTAATACCTAAGTATTAAAACGCCAGAAAAATTAACGAATAAAAAAAATATTTATATGGCTAATAACACTGGCTAATAACTATTTATATCTATTCAAAACGTACCTAGCGACGAACCCGAGCGAAGCGAGGGTGAGCCGCTAGTTACTTATAATTATTAAACATATCTTAAAATTGATTATATTATCAGTTTTCTTGTTGTGGATATAAAAATTTAATGCTCGTTTGTTCTAAATCGCAAATCTGTTATTTATTCCCCTAATAATAACAACAGAGAAGCTTGATCGGGTTTAGCTATAGTACTAGCGACTCACACTCGCTTCGCTCTATAACATCAGTTATCTTCCAGTGAAAGTCTCGTCAAAATCAGTCCAGCGGTTTCAGAGTTTATCCGGAACAAACAGACAGATAGACAGACAAAAGTAAAAAAAATGAGTTTTTCTTAAATTACCGTATATAATTTCATATGCATTTAGTAAACGCTGTTATTTTGACATTACAAACAGACCCTTCAATTTTATTTATTTGTATCGATAAACATTCACTTTAGGAAAAGCTGCGAAGTAGTGATGCGGGTGCTGCGCTCCCAGACGGCGGCGCTCATGTCGGTGATCGGGCCCTTCGTGTACGACCCGCTGGTGTCGTGGGGCGGCGGCCGCGGCGACTGCGCCGAGCGCACCAACGAGCAGGCGCTGCACCACTTGGGGCATATCCGGAATAGGCTCAACGGCATGGTGGGTGACGGTTCTATGTCCCACTCTGCCTATATCTTTTTCTTTTTTTCATTATAAATTTTTCAATCTGCATAAATATTATTAATGTGAAAGTTTGTGAGTATATACCTGAAAATTGTATTTTGTTGAATAAAAGCATTTCACGTGATTTTTCACTTGCTACTCGTGAAATGTTCCATCCCTAGTATATACATATGGATGTTTGTTACTCTTTCACGCTAGAACGGCTGAACGGATCTGGATGAAATTTGGCACAGAGATAGATTATAGTCTGGAATTAAAAACGTAGGCTACTTTTTGTCTCGGAAAAATATACGGTTCCCGAGAGATAAATTTGTTTTTGTTTTCCTAGAGGCGTACCCGAGGGAGGCGAGGGTGAGCCGCTAGTATAAAATAAATAATGACTTACTCTCACTTCACGCGGTGCTTTCTTAGGTATCTTTAATATATATATCTGGGTGACCGAGCTTCGCTTGGAGTTTTTGGCCAAAAGTTTAAAAAAAAAAAGACAATTCTAGTCTTTTTTTTTTGTTTTAAAAAAATACTTTAATAAATAAAAAAAATCAAAAGTAAAAACTTTGTATTCGACCGGGATTCGAAACGAAATTTGAATTCCCTTGAAAACCACCAAATACCAAATTTCAGCAAAATCGTTACAGCCGTTTCCGAGATCGCCGGTATATAAATAAATATACAAGAATTGCTCGTTTAAATATAATAGATAGATATCATATATAGACAGCGCTATCTTTTGGCAATTTTTATTACTATCAACTATCTCCACACAAAAAATCACGCCAAACCGTCATTCCGTTTCGACGTGAAAGAAGGACAAACAAACAAACACACATTCACATTAATTATAATACTAGTATGTATATAATTATTTTTTAATTAAAATTCTAATGATATTTATGTGTATTGCAGGTAAAAACGAAAAATAAACAACTATCACTGTCGTTATCGCCTGAAGGGCAAGTGGAGCACTTGATCGTGGAAGCCACAAGTGTTGAGAATCTGTGCCAAATGTACATCGGATGGGGACCATTCCTGTGACTTATATATATATATATATATATATATATATATATATATATATATATATATATATATATAATTAAATTTGTTACAACTACAACTAAGATAAATAAATATTTTTTAAATATTTTATGATTTTTATTTAAAACTAGCGACTCACGCTAGCTTCGCTCGGGTTCGTCCCTATAATAGACTAGAATAGATAGATTGTAATCTTATTGAAATTTTGAAAATGTTTGTTACTCAATCACTGAAAAGGCTGAACGGATCGGGATATTTTTTTTTAAACCGGAAAAAAAGTAGGGTTCCCGTGGGATAGATTTGTTTTTGTTTTTCACTAGGAACAAACCCGAGCAAACCGAGTTTGAGTGAGGTGAATATTATGAAGAGGGACATTTTGTGAGTTTGTGAATTTGCGACGTTGTAGGGGGTAATCTCTGGATCTACTGAACCGATTTAGATGAAATTTGCTAAGAAGATAGTTTGAGATCCTGGGAAGAACAAAGGACCCAGGACTAAGGGTGAAAATGGGGATTAAAGTTTGTATGGGGAATCAAGCTAGGGACTAATCCTAGCAAAGCGACGGTGAGTCCCTAGTATATTATATAAGTTTAGAAGCCATAAACATAACAAAATGACTTTCTTAAAGGGAAAAAAACATAACTCTAAGCCATTAAAGAAAAAGAAAAGAAAATATGTCCACATTAGATATAACTGCTGTTTCTACTTAAACCTTTAATGCGATACTTACGCGTATGTTAGAATGACCCACTGCACTGCGATATATTAAATGCGTATCATTTATCGTAAATATTCCTAGATTTAGTTTATTACTAACTATTGTATTTATAAATAGAATATTTGCTAGTGTAGAAATTGAACTGCAACCTTTAATGATACGATACCTACCCGTATATTAAACAAACCCACTAAATTAAATAACACGACGTAATTATAAAGGTTTTTTTTGTTTCTTAAAGGCCCTATTCTCTGGAGTTACCATCGAATTTGAATTTTTTGCATTTTATAGCCTATTTACTGAGAAGGTTTTACACACATTACACAGCGACCCTTGGAGAGGGAAATTCTGCCATGTGTGGCGCTTAATGATGTATATAAAAAAATATACTAGCATAGCCGCGGGCAAACGCTAGTAGTAAATATGTATAACAAATTTTAATTTACTTCAATAAAACAATATAACAAGAACATATCATTTCTATAAAAAACTTAACACTTAAACTGATAAGCGTAATGATGAACAAATGGCTTGGCGATTTGAGGATGACGATTGCGTAAGGCCGTATATAAGTATTACCTTCATCATATGTTTATACTTTACACGTCATCTTTTATAAATGCTTCCAGCCTGATTCATCAACGTCTATTTAAACCGCTAGATCAAACTGGCCGCTGTGCTAAATCTTAATAATGCATTCCTATAGTACCAGATAATTAATGAATTTCTTCTAAATTTAACAATTACGACTGAAAAAGTTTACATAGAAAAGTCTTTTAGGGGCCATTTTAAAAAAAATGAATAAAATTACTTTTCGACAAAATATATACTTAGGTATATGAAATACATTTTAGTATTTTCTGAAAATAGTAGCATTTAGCAAAGCCGGGGATGAATGCTTGTCATGTTCTCTATCAACCTAAATTAGGTCACCTAATTTTATCTGTGCACAAAATGGATAGAATTTAAAAAAACGTGGAGGATGGGTATAAACAACGATTGGGCTGAGTGGTCGTTGGGTATAAATGATTATTTATTGAGGCACAAGAAATAAAAGCTTTAAAACACTGCAATATATTACAGGTCACACTCATAAAAAGTTATGCAAGTATGCCAAGTGAAATGTAAACCAACAATTGATGCGAGACCATACACGTTACGTAAAGTCATTGTCGTAGGTACCAACTACCACACTATATGTTATAACATTTTTATTTACAACATTTCATAACTCTCACAAGGTGAAACACTGTCCTCTAAAGGAAGAGAACAAAAATGGTGTACATTTTCCATAGTTTATTGTAAAGTTTAGTGTTACAAATTGTTTTAGCGTCCGAATATATTTAAATGTACTTGTTATTAGACCAGTTATTGCATATAAATTGAGTGTAATTTGCATTCATGACTATAATAATATTAAACTTATTTTAAATATATCCAATTATTATTTTTGATTAGATAACTATGTATAGATTTTGTTGAAAAGTATCGCATTTTCATGTCTGATGAATTAAGTAGGTAACGCTCGAATATTTTCATTCAATGTAATGTTTTTTTATTTATAAAATTCTACTATTGATCGTAAAGAGGTTTCTAATTAGCCTTATACAGACTTATATCGGTGCTGTGTCCGTCCGTGTTGAACAAAAGCAAGTCAAATAAAATTCTAGTCGCCAGTCGCTGTTACAGCGCAATACGGATAGACTTAAATTGAATTTACTCTTACCCCTACAGCTTTTATTAACTTTGAGTTGGGAAAGAACTACTATTAAGTATTTATATAGATACAACTGAAGAAGGTGAATTGATGAGAAATTTTATTACCTTCTTGGAAGTTATTTATGTATGGTCGTCTAGATTTTAGATCAAACTCTGGTGTTTTTGGTTTACGTTATTTACGTATTACGTAGTTTGGGTGATTCTATAGGTACATAAATACATCTATCTACCTTCATAGATAATATATGCATAATATATAAAGCGCACAAACTTATTAAAATTAGAATATTATGTATTACGAAACTATTCTCTCGATATATTCAACTCTACAACACAACTCATAACAGATTGTCAGCGAAACCTTACCCAAAGCTACTACTTCAAAATAATTTCCTAATAAACAAATTTAAATCGATTGAATCTGTTTAGTTATGGTTAAATGAATAAACCAATTTAACCGGAAGTATATGATGACATTTGCTGCACAGCAACGCGAATATCCGAGCTGATGATTTATTTCACGATTTACTGGATTCAATCCGGATTTGTCACGGTGTGAAGTGACTTTATAAAGGTCGCTATTGTATTTTGTTTAAGCATAACAGATTGTTGTTGCCAATCGCAGCATTCTATTATCGTTATAGTTACCAACGGGCACAATCAAGGCTCTATTGGTGCAGATGAAATTCAAAATTACGGTTTTGTATTATAAAGATAATTTTGTATTTGATGCTATGTTATTTAATATATAAAACTAGCGGACCCGACAGACGTTGTCCTGTCTACACGTCTTTAATTTGAAAATTTCAAACTTTTTTTAATAATTTTTGTGATGAAAATTATTATTCAAATTGTGAATCTAAACCATTCCCAGATCCCCTTGAACACACACAAAAAATTTCATCAAAATCGGTCCAGTCGTTTGAGAGAAGTTCAGTGACATACACACTCACAGAAGAATTATATATATAAAGATATAAGCTGTTGCCTGTGACTTCAGTGGGTTCCTGTTTAAACCTCAACAAATAAACTTGATATCTTATTTATAATAGATCTCGTCACTTGATTTCATTAGAACTAAAACAGTATTCACTAAACATACAACATTTTTTAAATATTTATTATGACTAACTCCTACAGATACACCTACCTATACACGTACAGATACACCTATAAGTTTTATTACAATACTTTTTTCTTTATTCGTATATAATATAGATAGCATGTAACTATTATGTATAACTTAAGTATTTGATTGATTTCATCGCATATAATATTGAAATACTTGAAAAAAAAATAATGTACGACATAGACATCGATACATTTTTCATGTACCTATTGATAGATTTTTTATTAAATTTAATATCCGTATTAATATTATAAATGTGAAAGTTTGTGAGTATGGATGTTTGTTACTCTTTCACGCCAGAACGGGTGAACGGATCTGGATGAAATTTGGCACAGAGATAGACTAAAAGTCTGGAATAACACACAGGCTACTTTTTATTACGGAAAAATGTTCGATACCCGTGGGATAGGTTTGTTTTTGTTTTCGCTATTCGTTAATAATTCTGCTATGAAAAAAGGTACCTATAGGTTAACGTTGGCGCATTAAAAGTTACGCTTTGAAATTAATGAAGGGCCGTTGCTAACACTTCAGCTATTATAATATCTATATAATATGTATGCCGAGAAGCTTTGAAATAAACCTTGTTTTCTTTACTTAATAAAAAACAATAGGTATCACGTCGGCTGTAAACTTCTAATGAGTGAAACTTTTCTGCGCTTATGTTTGAAGAGTTTGAACTTGAATCCTGTTGAATGAAATGATTTATATTCCAAAGTTATGGTTTTTGCAGTTCGCGGGGAGAAAGTTTCTTTTCACCTCGTATTTGTCTTTTCATTAAGTTCTTTGTGAATAGTACAAAGTTGGCTTTATCTCGAGTATGGTCTTCATTGTGTAACGCTTAATGAGCGGTTGCTATTGTTAATTCGAGTTACAGTTGCTTTAGGTTTCGACTTTCAAAATTTTTTGACATGAGTTAAGTTTTATTTGTTTTATTATAAGAACTTTGCTCCCAAAAAATATCATATGGGAGTAGCTCGTTAGTATATAATAGTAGGTATATAATGAAAATATATGGTGGTATGAATGCTTCTTTGTGTGAGTCAGACTCGCACTTAATACATTTTTCGTCATTTATATCACAGATCATATAATTCTATACTAGTTTTAGATTGATAGATACACTATTTTAGATTTGTTTATGGAATCTGGAACTCCCAAAATTAACTATGTGCTAATAGTCTTTGAATAAAATATAAACTAACAAATTAGGTATTTTAGTAGAAACTAGAATTATTTACATAAATCTCAATACATTTGAAAATACTAACACTAAGTTTGGTAATTGATAGATGATAAAGGTTTTTCATATATAAAATCCCTAGAGGAGGTTATTTATTATAGTAATAAAATATATAAGTAAAGTAATACGAACTGAATCTTTGATATTTATTTATATTGATTAAATCTTGGATAATTACATGCAGAATTTGTTTAGTGTATACAAACATTTGTTTAGGTCTTCAAGAGAATATAATCTCGTAGTGTAATGCTCTATATATATTTTTTTCTTATCGCACAATAAATATGATATTGCAAAATATTCGTCACTGCACCCGATGTTAAGTACAAATATTGTTCCACAATAAAAATGTGAACAATACAGTTACTGGGCTTTAAATAAACGAAAAGACGAAATAACTTTTTAATTGCGCTATGAATTAAATTATAACGTAATTTCAGATCCGTATTTTTATTTTGCTTCCTCTTCCTGCGGTTTGTAGCACGTTCCCTGGAACGAAAGCGTGAAAACGATTATTTATCGGGCTTATGAAAATTAAATATTGTTACAAAAATGTTTATAAAACATACGAGAAACTGATCAAAGCGAATATTAAGTTTATTGTTATTTCCAACGTGTATTATAAACATGGAATTTAAGTTAATTGCTGAGATATATTAAAGTTATTGAATTATTGTTTAATAGTAATATAAGTATGTAGTAGTGTGATTTCCCATCGGCAATATAAACGAGAATAACCAATTTACATATTTTTTATTTTAGGAATGATATACTTTCATACAAAGTTATCTATCCTTTTTATTCATTTAGGGAATGAAAATTTTAATGAAATACAATGAAATCCTTTTTAGGTGCGATAAAAAAAAAACTCTATTATAATTTTTTGCTTTAAATGTAGCAATTTAATCTGTGCATTATGTTGTGTCAATCAGTGAAATTAAGATTATTATTAAATAGATATTTTTGTTTTAAAAAAGTTAAATTCATATATCCACGAAACTAAAAGCTATTTAAAGTTTATGGTAAAGTACACTGTCATTTGCTGTACGTCCACATCCACAGTGGCCTATCGGTAAACGCTTGACAGGCAATATCCGGATGATCCATTGTTCTCCTCATTGCGGATTCAGAGCGAGCTGCGGTCTTTTCTCCCCTACCCTACCTTTACCCTGAAAGTAAATGAGTTGAAAAAATATTTAAAATAATATCCTTATTATATTTTATTAGCTTTTAAAATTATATCTTTTAATGTTAGTTGCTGGTTAGGTTGATAGTTAATTTATTAATAGTTAATGCCTTTATTAATGAGATACTTATTCTACTAATATTATAAATGTGAAATTTCGTGAGGATGGATGGATGGATGTTTGTTACTCTTTCACGCCAGACAAGCTGAACGAATCTGGATGAAATTTGGCACAGAGATAGATTATAGTCTGAATAGTACATAGGTTACTTTTTATCCCAGAAAAATGTACGGCTCCCGTGGAATAGACAGTTTTTGTCTAGGGACAAACCCGAAGCGAAGCGAGAAATGTATTTTTTAACTAACTAACTAACTAACTTCTTTATCGTTCAGTTCAGTTTTTTATAGAGTGCTTTAAATGAGACGAATAGTTGTATGTTTATGCATTTCAGCTGGAGGGAAGTGTTAAATCATTTTATGAATGTCAGCTACTACAAAGAGTCAAATCTTTAAGTTATTTGAACAAAGTTCATAGTTTAAATATAATCCACTTAGAAATTCTGGCGTCAGATAAAAGGTGTCGTAAATAGAAATAAATGTCCCCTGAATCGAGATTAGAACCTACTAATGAAAAAGTTTTAAATTCTACGCAATATGCTTCGCAATTTAATTCCAAAGACTTCAGAGACGGCCCGACCTTCACATTTTTATTTTCTCTTCGACTAACTTATACTAACTTCTGTGTATTCAAAATGAATCAGAATCAAAAGTAGCTAAGTTTAAACATGTTTAGGTAATATTATTTTAAATCAGAGGAAATTAAGGAAGTAAGAAATCAAATAAATTAAATGTTTTTATTTCTATTTAAATTTGATTACCTTTTTTGTGTTACAAACATATCATATTACAAAATTTTATAGATAGGAAATAGGGGGATAAGTTTAAGCCTGCTTTTATATAATTTATCGGCCATTGTCAACCAATGTACGCCTTTTGAAGAATCCTGTGTGTAACATGCTTAGCTGGCACTAACTAAATCGATGGTTCGTTGTGGTGTAATGGTTAAAATCACAAGGGTAAATAAAATATTTATTAAACATAATAAAGGTGCTAGTTCTGGCCTGGTTAATATATTAGGCCTGATTTTATTCGATTGCTATGTTTTTTAATATTAAAATAGAAGAGAACGGTGGTAAGTAAGTATTTTAGAAAACACAATATAAGTATATTTTAGATTTTCCTTAAGATTTTTAGTCCTAACGCACGCTTTTAAGTAAATTACTTTTTAAGGAGGTTCAAAGTTTCTTTACTTCATGTTGATATACTATCTCTCAACAACTCTACACATACTGGTTCTTCAATGCTCAGAAAAAATTATTGATTTAAGGCTGAAATGTTGGCTGCCATTCCTGTAATGACATGGATAGCAGATAACTAAGACAGAAATTAAATTATATACCAAAAACTAATTCGTATTTTCCCAATTGGATTTTGACTATTTTTAAAATGTCTGCGAGTAAAACGTAAAAATTTTAAGTTTACACTTACACCTGCTGCGTTATAATAAGCAAAACGGTTACTCTCTTGTATTACAAAGTATGTTTTTTTTTCAGTAACAATTGACTTTCAATAATATTTTTAATGCTATCCAGTAAACATTATTACGCAGATTTTCCTTTCTATTGAGAAGGTTAGCCAACTCGGAGAAATAGACCGGATATGTAAACATAAACTAGTCATAATATCATTTTACTTCTGGATCTATCTGGTATAAAGAAATAAATCGAGGAATTTAAAACAATTATTATTTATCATAAAGTGTTTATTAATAAGTGTAACAAGGCGATATGAAAAATTTACATTAAGTATATTTTGAAAAAAAAATGCATTTGAGGAATGTTTTACATGCAATAAGGTAAGGTATAGCAAGAATTTATAATTTTTTTCGGCCTTTGCGTGGCCATTAATTTTTTATTGCATCGCACATAATATTTATTATGCAATAAAATCCAGGTTGATAATTAAATGAATTTAACTCTTAGATTTCATTTCATAAATTAATATTCTTTCATTATTATTGTATTTACGCTGTGCATACATAAACCAAGGTCTTGGTCAGCGAGTTGCGTCAGTGTCAATAGTTAGCACCTTGTTACATATTTTTTAAGTAGATACTTATTTGTTTGTAATAAATTATTTGACTATAACCATTTATATAAACCCTGATAGAGATTGTGTTTTTGACAGCGTATAATCTATACATATAATAAAATTGTAACTAAGCGGAATCTGTACATTAAATATTTTTTGGAAAATCTTATTGAAATAAACATTATTATCGATACAGAGGCCGAATCTATAGTTGTTAGAATTTTTGTCTGTCTGTCTGCCTGTCTGTCTTTCTGTTACCGCATCACAGTAAAACCACTGGAGGGATTTTGATTAAATTTGGTAAGGTGATAGCTGGTTATCCGGGTCGTCATATAGGATACTTTTTACCGCGAGAAAATATGTCATTTCTGAGAAAAAATGCAAAAACTGCAATGTAAGAGTATATTAATCTGTAAAACTTAAGAATTTGGTTTTTGGTTATGAACGCAGGCGGAGCCTCGGGCAATGCTAGTATATACATATGATCATAAATCGTCCGTCGTCCGTCCGTCCGTAGAAGGGTATTATTTTCAAAAATGTCAATATTTATAATAAGTACAATAAGTAGTAATAAAAAATGTAATAGCAAAAAATTGTTTTTGAAGATAATTTTATTAGTTACGAAGTGTTACAAAGAGCATACGTTTTTATGTGTACTGCACAAAAAGTTTTTAATCTCTTTAGGCAATAACTTAAGCATAATATTTTCATATTTAGTATTATGATATAGAATACCGAGTTATATAGCTTTGCACAATTTATTGCAAAAATTATCTAAAATACCGAGGAAATTCGATAGGTACAGTTAATTTTTTTTTTAACATACCATATATTTCACTTTTCTTGATATGAACCGCTAGTTATAATTAAAAGAGTTTATTATGTCCTCTTATTTCATAGGAATTTCAAAGTATTGAAATGATTAAAGTAATTTCCATTATTTATATAATGAAATTCAGCCTCGTAATTGACCATTCTATCAAATTATATCATTCAATTCTGAACTATTCAGCCGTGTAACTATTCAATTGCAACACCTAAATAGGTTTTCTTGATTAGAATCGTAAATAGGCTCTTTTATTATTAGTTGTTCGACAATATCTTATGAGGGTAGATGAAACAGGAAATAATATTTGAAAATCGGGCAAGTGCGAGCCTTACGTGCGCTGCGAGTGTTCCGTGGCAAGAAATGTTAAATAAATGTTACGTATTATGTTAAACATACTTAATTTGTTTATTTTAAAGTGAAATCAAACATTTAAGTCCGTTTACAGCATTCGTCTTATTGGCAGTATAAATAATTTTGTATTTTATATTATTCATATAAAAAAAAAAAAATTTCAGGTCGAACGAATGAAAACGAATAACAAGACAAGATAAGAACACATATCTCAAAAATGACTGAACGTGTTATTCATATTCGTACTTCCATACTTAATGTTATATAAATGTGAAAGTGTGTTTGTTTGTTTGTCCTTCTTTTATGTCGAAACAGAGTATCACATTGGCGTGATTTTTGTGTGAAGATAGTTGAAGGGTTGGAGAGTGACATAAGCTACTTTTTACCGCGGGAGACGATTTTATTCCCACAAGAAAACAATTTATAATACAACCCAAACAAATATTTATCATCAGAATAACTTGAAACTTGGTATTAATACTCTTCAATACAATTAAATAAATACGTGTTTTAGCATTTATCGAAATTTATGATAAAAGGGGGATAGTCTCGAGCGTCAATAAATAGGGGATGAAAGTTTGTATGAAACCTACTTTTTATGAAGCCGTGGGTTCTGCTAGTTTAAAATAATTTTCGCTGAAAGAATTTTGGAAGACCTAATATTATCTAAAGTGACTTAAAAATATGTACCAATCTTATTTTAAAGATCTATCCAGAAATACACCACACGCTTATGTAGAGTATTTTTAACCCGTCATTTATTTATGTATTTTTTGTTATATTTTGACACAAGCAATTCGCATTAAATAACCTATCTTAGTTCAAACCATGGATGACTATTATGACTGTGACATGAGTACAAGCGGCCATGACGAAATTATAAGTGTGCCGTATTTACCTTTCGGCCACGGAACTCTATATTTGTTATTTAGGTATCTATTCTTACAAATAAAATTCAAGATTTTTTTTTGTTATTTCAAATTTAACTTTATTATAATCATTTGGCTAACGATATCAAACTTCAAACAATAATAATTAATGTTTCTTAAGGTTTTCCTTTTGTTCTGTTTTATTGTTCATTTATGAAACGTACCTATATTATTAGGGCAGTTAGAGTGGTAAGGAAAAAAATTATTTTAAGCGGCCTGCGGCTACTTTTTCCTACTAGGTTTGATCACGTTTGAATTTTCTACGACTTCGATAATCTACTCTAGGATAGTTCGATTGATTTTTAACTACTATATCGGTACCTGCAAGAACAAGCTTATAACTGAGTATTATAGTAATTTTTACTTTAAATAATAAAGAAATAAAAAAAAGTAACCAGAGAGTCCGCCAAAATAAATGTCAAAGTCAAAAATAGTAGCGTGATTTGTTTTTATATGAATTTTTAAATCGTCTTAATACTCAGTTACAATTTTGATGTTTGTAAAAAAAATTTTTCAAAAAAATTCCAATGTCCATTAACCTCGTTACAATTGGTGGATTCTGCTACACTGATTAAATGACTTGACATTCTTTAGAACTTTTCAAGCACGAAAAGAAAAGGTCCTCTTAAGCTAACATATGTATAAACTTTGTAAATTTTATAAACATGTTACTTGATAATTGTGAATGTGATATAACACGTTGTACAAATCTAACGATTTCAATTTTAAAAACATCCCCAGTAACTTCTATTAACAATAATTCAGCTCTTTTAAGGTCTTCCCCTAATTCAAGGATTTCTCGTCCATAATGCGTCTATATAATTATTGCATTAAATCAAATTTAAAGTTATTGCTACATGATAAGATTCTTGCTCGATAGTTCAAGGAATTTAGAAGGATTTTCCTTAAGGAAAAATATTTGGATAGTAACTAAAAATCAGTTAATTAAAAACAATAAGATTACGTATACATAATATCATTTTTAACCGATTTCCAAGGAGAGGTTGGTTGTGAGAGGAGGTTCTATGTTATATTCGTTCGTATGTTTTTATGTATGTTCACCGAGCTCTCGGAGACGGCTTGACCGATTTGGCTTTTTAAACTGTATTATATTGAGGTAGGTCACAAGGTGGCTGCGTAAAATTTTATTTGCCACAGAGTATCTTCAATATGTCCATTTTATTACATTCTATTACAATCGAATTTCAAATTTTTCTAAAAATATTTAGATTAAGTACAAGCTCGTTATAGTATTATTATAGGCATATAAACAAAATCTTGATAAGTAATAAATTATAATGTTTAAAAAATCTTAGAATGATTATTTCTTACGTAAATATTTAGATGCGACGGAAAAATAAATAAATTATGAGAGGATTGTGTCATTTGTACTAAGTACGACTAGGCAGTTTACATTATACCGTCGTCCAATGCGCAGGCGAAAAAGTTTTCGCGCGCAAGCGTTTTGACGAGCGCGGGAAAATCATACTCAATAATTTCTTAAATTCCTTTTCGTGCTAAAATGTAATTTGAAATTATTAGTGAAATTAAATAATATAATTTGTGTATTACCGTTTGTAGATAACCCTTAAGCTATGTTTTTTTAAATTATATTCCAGTTTTTATCATTGAATTTTGCATATGGCATAAAAACAGGTAAGTACGTACGTAAGTACTGATAATAATTATAATTATTGTTGTTGTTTTAATAAAAGCCAAATGTACGGTTGCAAAGCCGTAGTCATATTATGCAGGTTAAAATTTAAATCTAAAATACATATGTGAATGAAGTTTCAACGTCTTCTTGAATGGTATGTGATTAAATACAATTAGACAAAAATTATATCACAGTTACATCTCATAAACTCATCGTTATAAAAAGTCAAAACTTAATTGCAATTTCTATTACACTTATATATGTACCTAAAATAAAAAATTATAATAGAATTTTGAAGTGTTATATTTGTATAAAAAATAATAAAATATATATTACGGAGGAGTAGGTTTTAAATTTTACCGATGTAATATAGACAGCGTCATAGGACTAAAACTGAAGTCGAACAATAATGTTTTAAAATAATATAATTAATGTTTCAAAGTACACAAATATTAACAGAATACTCATAACAATGATAAGTATAATAGCGAAATTTGGTATATAAAAATAAGCTAATAATTTTTATTATGCACTCATTCAAGGGGCGAACTAATGCTAAAAAATTAATATATGTATGTAGTTTTATTTTCATAATTGTTCATATTTTCTTTTGAAAAATTATATCTATGGAAAAGTTTTTTTTTTGAAGAAAGTAAACGATCTGCATGGAAAAATCTAGAATAGCAAAAACAGGAAAATCACGCTACTATTTTCGACTTTTGACTTTTTTTTAGCATTTTTAGCTTATAATTTTTTAGTTGTATATTTAAAATATAAAAATTTTGCATGTTTTGATTTCACAATTTATAACTTAAACGTTTTGTATTTGAATTTGGCCTTTCATTTCAGGTAAAGTTTAAATATCCCATTATTTATAAGTTATATACATATTATGATTTTTTATAATTTATAACTCTAAAAATATATAATATTAACACTGCCTATATATGATAATTGATTATAAATAATAACCGATCAAGTACTTACCTTACCTGATACGCAGTTAATGTCGGTGTCCTCATTTATAAAACGATTTTTTTATTAAAAATAAGGAAAAAGTCAATATTAAACGTGATAAGAGTGATATGTGCCATTAAAGTTTCTAAATGAATAATTAAATATTTTTAGTTAATCGACTACAGTTTTACTATTAATACACCATGAATTTTTGTGAAATTAAAATTTTAAATTTTCTGTTATTTATGTTTACAAATTACAGTTGTTGAATACAATTGTAGGACAATGTTGAAAGTGGATCCATTGAGATTAGTTGGTCGAGTATTCCCTATTGTTCGCTGGTCGAGGACTTATGACTTGCGGACAGGGATCGGTGATTTGATAGCTGGAATCACTGTTGCGCTTACTCTGGTACCACAGTCTATTGCCTATGCGTCACTTGCAGGATTTGAACCGCAGGTAAGTTTGCTTAAATCGGTTAATTATGAAAAAAATAAATTTGCAGGGTATTTTATTTGTTATCGTAGGGATTTAGACGGGTTTTTTTGAAAAAAAAAACTTATGCTGGACGATCAAATGTTTATGAAAAAAAAAAGTTCTTACATATTATCTCCTTTAATCCAAGAGGAACTGTTTAATATAATAATATAATAACGAACAATTATAGTATATGAAAAAATAATCTTTAAACATTTTACTCGTAGTAAAATATACCTATATAATTAAAAAATAATATTGATTTATATATTGAATATTAAATAAAAATTTAATTTTAGAATTAACATAAACGTACAAAAAGGCGTGTCCTTTTTGTACGTTTAAACTTTAAATTCTAGAATCTAAAATTATTGCGATAATAACAAACTTTCAACTTTTTTAAAAGCTGAATCATTTAGTTTCAGTAAGTTGTTCTAATGGATTTTTTGAACTTAAAAATATAGCAAAGTTCCCATTTTACGTTTTTTTGACGCAACTTTGATCATGTAAAAGCGTAGGTACTTTGATGTGGACGTTAATTTTTCATATAATAGTTTAAAATTTTTAATTTCAAATAATACAATATAATCATAATGATGTATGTACGTTGTACATCGTATGTATGAATTACATATGTAGGTATACTTTCTCTGATAATTTATTTTTTTCTTTAAGTACTATTATTTTACTCATTTCTTTATATTTGACAGTTTAACAAAATACAGTTTAAAATAATTACTAATAATTGAATCATTTCTCCCTTGAAGGCCATCAAGTTATTTATAAATAGTGATTTACGTAGGTAATTATTTTTATTATACTTCCGTATCCGAGAGGTCCAGTGAACCTTATCACTAAGCTTATACTGTCCGTCTATCCACTCGTCTTTCTGTCTGTTTGTCATACAGATTTCTAAAAAGTTGTATCTTTAAAATCATAAAGTTAGAAACCAAACAGTTACGACAGATTTTCTAACGCTTAGCTTACTGCTTAATATTATATGGGGAGTTCCCGTACAAGAAACGTGTTATTTTAAGTTTTAGCTTTATTGTAAGAACGCTAGTTTTTTTAAGCTGTCGGTTTGACTCATACGATAAATTTCGACCGCTATTCAATACAACGCATGATTTTTTAGGCAATAAATGCATTACATTTATATGTGTGTCGCAGGGAAATAGTAAAAACTGTGAAATTATAATTGCACGAATTTTTGTCAATTGTCTTTATTTCTTACAATATCACTTTACAATCTAAGTTATATTATAACTAGCATAGCCCGCGGCTCCGCCCGCGTTTAGATGACCAAAAACCTAATTCTTAGGTTTTACATATTAGTATACTCTTACAATGCAGTTTTTCTGTTTTTGTATTTTTTTCTCAGAAATGAGATATTTTTCCGCGGTGAAAAGTAGCCTATATGTTGACCCGGATAACCAGCTATCATCATACCAAATTTCATCAAAATCTGTCCAGTGGTTTTCTCGTGACGCGGTAACAGACAGACAGAAAGACAGACAGAAAGACAGACAGACAGACAAAAATTCTAAAAACTGTAGATTTGGACTCTGTATCGATAATAATGTCTATTTCAATTAGATTTCCCAAAAAATATTTAATGTACAGATTTGACTTAGAATTTTATTATATGTATAGATTTTACTTAGCAAATTCAGTGACATTGTAATTATCCTGGTTAAATTGTCAAAATTACTTATCGTCGGAGCCTCGCGTCGGTCCGTTTTTCGGTAGATTGGTTGATCGGACATTTTTAAAATCAAAAACGTAAATCTTGCAGTGTCTACCTAGTATCTAATAGAAAAGCTCTCGAGTTTGGGCTTATGTTTTTTTTGTCTTATTACAGTAGGTTGATCATAACACTAATATAAACTATATATCTACGTGCATATTTTTACTATTAAAAAAAATAGTTTTGTATTAATTGAATGTCATAATTATTTCAGTATGGACTTTACGCGTCTTTTGTGGGCGGTTTTGTTTACGCGTTAATGGGAACTTGTCCACAAATCAACATTGGTCCCACTGCGTTACTATCGCTCCTTACTTTTACTTATACGAATGGAACCAATCCTGATTATGCGGTGTTATTATGTTTCGTTGGTGGAATCATTCAACTGATTGCTGGCATCGTACAACTTGGTAAGCAGCTTTACGTATATTTTATTTTTGACATACAATAAAATATTTGAAAAAAATATAAAATGGTCAAATATGTAAGGATTTGGCTGGCGCAGACTTCGAAATTAGGTATATGATTAGGTATGTATATTGTATATAAATGAAAACGTTCAGAAATTTTACATTTTAGTGTCTGAGAGTTGGTTTATATTTATTTCATTTCACACTATCTGAAAGTTTTATAATAAAAAATTAAATGAATTCGCTATCCTTAAGTGATACAAAACCGGGTTTCCATAGATAACTGAGTTAAGTCGTAAAAATACACATACCTTACGTATTAAGTTACGTAGTTATAGGTATATTATTGTTACAATTCAACACATAACAATATATGTACATATAAAAATACAAATTGAATAAAAATAAAAAAGAAATTAAATATCATCGCGATTGGCCTTATTTGCTTCTCTACGAGGTTATATTTTTTATTGGTAAAGCTTTAAGTAGGGATTCATCGATATGCATTCCTGTCGATACGATGCTGATATTAATAATAAAAACTGTCAATGATCACATTGCCTCAATGTCAATGCGAACATTAAAGATTTAAAAAGGTGTAAAAAGTTTAGTGTTTACAAATAAAATAAATCGTTTGTATGGTCTTTAATATAACGTTAACAAATATGTATTTTTAAAATTGTTGTTGAATTTTTTTTATGGCAATAGAATAGTCTCAACGTTAACAAAAGAATAAAACCTTGAGCGTAGACGAATTGGGAAATTGTGTTAATATAACCGTTCTCGTTATATCGGGTAACCCATAATATCACATATAAGTATCGATAAGGATGCATCCCTTTTTTTAACGTTGGGAAATGCATTTACGCACGAGGTGTGGGACTCACCGACAAAGCTAGTACTACCCACTAAAACCCAACAAAGCCTTCCCCCGTCTTAATGAGGCGTCGCAGGATCGCTTACGCATTCAACTACGACGCCCCGACGGCAGGTCTGCCGAAGCAGACCACAACAACCACGGGGTTGCTCCAAGGTCCACTCTGCTATCAGAGAAGTACCAGGAGCAACCCGCATGGTTCACCGCCCTCCGAAGAGGGCCGCCTCCCACCGCCCACCGAAGTGGGCCACCTTCCTGTGCGCCCGGCTGTATTGCCGGGCACTACTGAGTCCTCCCCAGGACAAGGTGAACGCACGTTGGGGGGGAAGGATGCATCCCTAGTTTAAACCATATGTAATTAATTTATTGAATGTACATACAATATAGATTACATATATTATTTTAATAAAAAATAAAGTCTTATCATTAAAGTTTAAAACTTAATATCCGAATAATTTGTTGAGACGTACGTTAGTAATTTAATTGTATAACGTATTATGATATTTTATTGCTTTAAAAGATAAACTGTTAAATTCCTCACGGTCTATTCTCAGTAAGCAGTCAGTCAAAAGTGCTTATAAAAAGTCCATTTGAATACAATATATTTTGATTTGATTTGAAACTGCAGCCTGAGCTTTTGGTAGCTCCTGACTGATTAGATTGATATCAGGATAAGTGTAAAAGTTAACGATTGAAAAGTGTTTTTACTTTGAGTTTGAATTTAACTACCTGATGATGATGTTCTCCTAACCGATTCCGGCCACGGCGGTCAATCTCAATGAGATTAGCCAACTGCGCAGGAGATATTATAGTGCTCAAGTGTACGCGCAGACACAAGTGCACTCTCTATTCCTATCACTCTCATACTACGGTGGGACGACCACTCGACACGACCGGTGAGAGTGTCGGCGCAGGACCGACGGCTTTACGTGCTCTCCGAGGCACGGGGGTGAAACACCGCCAACTTCCCAACTCCGGGCGATTACTGAGACTTACTATACAGGAAGACTCATTAACTAAACTTGGCCCGACCCGGGACTCGAACCCAGGACCTCCGAGTGTGCAGCCGTACATGCTAGCCACTACACCACCGAGGCAGTAACTACCTGATAAAACAAGTTTTAGTAAGATAGGGATTCCCTTAATGTCAATCAGTAATTTCTTGTTTATGTGAGACTGTAAAATGACAGTTTATTAAAAGACCTACTGAAACTCGTTGGAAAACTAGAAACACAAACAAATCTTTTAAACTGGAAGCGAGTGTGCGATTGGGTTGCACTAATTTTAATACCAGTGGTTGGTATGGATATATTTTGCTTGAGACAATTCATGATTTATATATGATAATTACCTTTTTTTTATTTTTGTGTGTCATGTAAAGTAGTTAACATTACTTAAAAATGGTATTTGCACGTAGTAACAGTATGTAGGAATACCCATATATCCCATACATAAAGCATCAAGACTTTTTAAAAGGCAATATTCTTAAGGTAAACATATAAACTTACGAAAACGTACGCAAGTGTAATTTGGCCTAAAAAAAAAAAGCTTTTATAGTTTTTGTAATCGTTTCCCAATTTTATTTCAGGTTTTCTCGTAGAATTTGTGTCATTGCCGGTGGTATCTGGTTTTACATCTGCCGCTGCTATTACTATCGCGTCATCACAAATTAAAGGTCTTTTAGGCCTAAGGTTCAATGCTGAGACTTTTACATCGACTTGGCGAGGTGTGTTTCATAATATAGGAAGAACGAGGATGGAAGATAGCCTCCTTGGGTTATCTTGCTGCATAGTTCTAATGGGGATGAAGGTGAGTTAAAACCCATTGATATATTACAGATATAAAAAACTCAATTTTGCCCATTTTGAATTAAGCATACAAGTATTTCTACAATTAAAATATTTACACTAATAATGTAATATTTTGATTAAATTGATATTATATTTTTCATAAATAATTAAATACACTTTTTGATGTATGTTGGAAAATTAACGCATAGCACCATCTAATTCCATGGTAAGCTACGAGGCTTGTGTTATGGGTACCATATTGTTGATACACTACACTTATAATGTATAACTTTAAATACAAACATATTTTAAATATAAACACTCATGACTGGAGTACAAACATTCGTGCTCATCACACAAATGAATGCCCCCAGCGGGATTCGAATCCGCGACCGCTGGCACAGCAAGTAGGGTCAATATAAACTGAGCCAAACGTGTCGTCGTATCGATGTATGAATAATATAAGTCAACGCGATAAAAAAAATAAGTAGCTTATATGGCTTAACGCAATACATATACCCATTACCTAATCATAACAATTGTGTAATATAATAGAGGAATACGTAAACTATTTACCTTTTAGAGGTATTTCTTTTTATTCAAAAAAAGAATGTCTGATAGCGGCGCCATCTACTGTGTCCAATTGTATTTTCCAACTATTAAAGAACCCATTAAAGAACCCAACCCAGAAATACACAAACAAAATTTCATCCAAATCGGTCCAGCCGGAGGTCTGTTTAGGAGGAGTTAGGTGACTAACACACGTATTTATTTAAGTACTGTCAAATTACACAATGATGATGTTACGACCATGAGCACTTACGATATGGACGCATCCTATTCTGATCACCGTTCCCTTAATTGATCTAACTGCTCACTACCGGGTACATTGTTATAGTGTGTTTTCTCACTGATGTCCTTCATGCGATTTTAAGAACGTTTTATTTTAAGTTTTACCCATTATTATATGATATATTATCATAAAGTATCTATTAACCTTTCCACGACTTCGTCTGCATAGTTTTTATATTTAAACAGGCTTTAATTTACGAAGTTTTTTTGTCTTTATATTTTTTTCTATTTTTCTCGGCTATTCCAGCCAATCACCTCGTAGTATATACATTTTTCTTTCCAAAAAGAAGTGTGCAATTTTACTCGGATATTTAATTTAAGCCAGATATTCGATCAATAGCGTGAAAACATCTGTAGCTGACCTAGAAAACCTTTATTTCAAGAAATAACCAAATCCAAATACGGCCAGTATATTTCTAAAAATACTACAAACAAAGCTGTTTATATAATTCCAAATAAATAAATCGTGAGTAAATGTTATTTTCTCAAAGACCGGAATTGTAATTTATATAATTTATATTCATTAATAAAACATTTTACCTGTATAGTGTCCATCATTTTCAGTATTTTTTTGGTTTTTGTCAAATAAACTGGTTTATTTATTTCTTTATTTTAGTTGATTAAATTCAAAAATACTTGTAAATGTCTACCTACATTGTTTTTCTTGAGTAAGTGTTATGGTTTTACTTTTGCAATATACGAATATCACATGAGAACTACTTTGTATGTATGGAGACAAAAACTCGTTCTAAAAGTAACAAACTGTAGCTTACAAAGTATGTATCTCTATGCAAAATGAGGCCAATCCGTTGCCTCAATGCTTCTGGAGGAAAGTACAAACTTTTGCGTCTCCAATATTAATCATTAATATGAAGATTAATATGAAGCACTAAATATTAATTAATTGTTTTTTAACAAAAAAGGTACACGGACTTAAAAAAGGCTTAAAAAACAATTACTTCAGCCTTAGCGTCAGTTTTTTTCTTTAAATATTTATATATATTCCTTTATAAATAAGTCGGGACATTAACACAGAGCAACATCTAGTTCCATGGTAAGCTACGAGGCTTGTGTTGTGGATATCAGATAGTTGATACACTACACAAATATAACTTTAAATACTCAAGACTGAAGTATAAACATTCGCGCTCATCACACAAATGAATGACCCCAGCGTGACTCGAACCCGCGACCGCTGGCACAGCATGTAGTAGTCACTACAAACTGAATCAAACGTGTCGTCAATATGGGTTATAGCATCAACTTGGAGGTATAATTGTTAAAAAACGAATAATGATCCATCGGCTCACAATTCGGACACAAGAGAAATACCATGTATAGATAATGAAAATATTAAATTAATTTATCCACTCACTGACAAATAACGTACAGCTTGAACATGTCTCGAAGCATTTTGCACGGTTTCTTATATAACGAAGGTGTCCACCAAAAATGAGTTTTTAAAGTTTATTCCATAACAGGGTTAAATAGGAGATGAAAGTTCGTTATTCGTAAACTTAAGTGGCAGTTATTATTAGACTTGTATAAGTAAAAGTTAGTTGTACAATCGTTTACTGAAACATAATCTCTTAATGAGATTTAATTACTAGCAACCTCGCCTCCAACATAATCAACGAATATAATGATATTAGCTTTATTTGAGAAGGCGTAGATGTTGTTAGGGAGATATACATATTACGTTTAATTTAATGAAACTAACTAAATCAAACTAAATTTTATTTAACGTTAACAGTTCAGACTATTACATCAGTATATTAAAATCGATTAAACTATTCTCAAGTAATGTGCAATTAAATTTTAAAAACCAACATACATTTTTTATAGGTATTTTAAAAAAACACATTCAGTGTTTAACTTTAAATCATTTAAAATGTTGTTACATGCATAAATAATTCAAATCGATTACCAAGCAATTAAGTAGTTACATCACTAACAAGTTGCAAGCGATAATTCACACTTAATATATAAGCCATAATAACATCACTACTTCAATAGCAAGACAATTTGTGTTTAAACTAAGCGCTAAACCAATCCCGCGTAGGCTAATTCTAGCACATATTAAACTCTGTCGTGGAATATAATTGCCGGTTCTATTGTTTGTAGACACTAGTTTTACAACTTGTTACATCTCAATTCCCTGAGTCCACTTAATAACTTTACTGTATTTTCTGAACAGGAAATTTTAGAAATACCATGTTTGCTTCTGTTGTTTTTTTAAGAATGATTGGAGCAATGAAATAGTGTATTTGGGCTTTATTTTAGTTTGGTGATAAAATACGTATGTATTATGAGATTTGTAGATATTGTTAATATAATATGTTATGGATTTATCCTCTTTAAATATGTCGTGAAAATAAAATTAGATTTTTACTGGAAGACAGTTAAGATAGTTACACAATATTATTTAAACGTATGTACGTAATGTGTCTTAAATATTTAAAAATGTGTTGTTTTCACTTAAAATAGTTCATTACAAATGTCATTGTTCTTTTTTTTTTCGACTATTTATTTTTAAAATATTAAAAAGAATAAATATTTTAAAGAGTTTTATTTTACGAAAGGCATTAAAAATTTTTTTGCAGATATAAATCATAACTACTTATTCTAGTTTGTCCTATTTGTTTTTTTGTATCCCAGCTATCTATATATTTTTTTCATTTATATCATCTTATTTTTGTTCGACACCTTCGATTTTTGTCTGTCTGTGTATCTGTTACCGCATCACGAGAAAACCATTGGACAGATTTTGATAAAATTTGGTATGATGATAGCTGGTTATCCTGGTCAACATGTAGGATACTTTTTACCGCGGGAAAATATCTCATTACTGAGAAAAAATACAAAAACTGCAATGTAAGAGTATACTAATATGTAAAACAAGAACTTGGTTTTTGGTCATCTGAACGCGGGCGGAGCCGCGAGCAATGCTAATATTTGAATATTACTTGATACCTATTTTTGTTACTAAATTTGGACATGTCAATAACACTACTAGGTCAACCTTTATGTGTATATAAAGCAAAAAACAATTTTACTTTGTGTACTAATAGCTGTCCTTTATATTTTACTGATGCCCGTACTTGTTATTTCGCTAAAATCCTATTTACACTCTATGGATCTATCAGTAATTTTTTAAAATGTATTAAAATATGCCACATAATCATTTGATGAACTTAGTAACGTAAAGTAGATTAAGTAGCTATGTTGTTCTCAGACTCAAATTACCCAACTGTGTTAAGATGATCGCCTCTGGCTTGCTCTCATTGGCCGCAAGAGCTATAATATACACACATACATATATGTTTGAGCTTGATAAAGTGCAAGTCCTTAATCTGCGTATGTATTCAGTCAGCCTTTTTTAACGACCCAATGGTGGGCATAGCCCTTCCCTCAAATTTCAATATGAGGGGGATCAGGTATTAGCAAGTAGCAATGTTGAAAATTATTCCCGTAATATTAAATTATGATTCGGGTTTGAACCCGCTTTACTTGGCTTTTCAAGCGAATGCACTGCCAATGGACTACCACCGTTCCATCGGATATATTGGGCTAATGTATTAAAATGATTAAGTGCGTAGTTTGACTAAGAGTCAAAAGGGTCTATTTACTGACTCTGGTGATTGATTAGCTTTAAGTAATTATTTATTTTACAAAACAATTAAGTACCTAGTCTCTAGACTTCAGTTTGCTTCAGTTGTTTTGTGTATTCTATTGTATAACTTGACTAAATATCTGAAATGAAAGTTTATTTATTTTTGTTAACTGAAATGTCTAATGCTATAAATATAATAAATATAAATTTAAACTAAAGTAATGTTTTTGTATTAATAATATTCATTTGGTTTATTTTTTATGCTGAAAACTTTATTATATCAAATTCAAAATCCTTTTCAGAATTGGTCTAAAGAAAGTTTTAAGCATATAATTCATAATTTGATATATTGTTGAATAATGATTCGCACATGAAAATATCAAGGGTGCTAGACCCAGGATTTAAGCTCGCGTCACTTTGTTTCCCAAGCGAACGCGTTACCACTGGACCACCGCCACTTGTTTACGCCATAATGGTTATCTAATATTATAATAATATATTTTAAAACAGAATTATCACCAATGGTGGAATAAATTAAATCTTGTCTTTCAATATTTTTGAAGTGAAATTTCTTTAGAATCATTGTGATTTGAAACTCGATGGAACGAAAATGTGTCACGACAAAGAGACAAACACATAAATATACAGGACTAAGCTGGCGAGAGAATGAGATAGAATACATTACATAGGAAGTAAAAAATATTAAAAACAATACTGAATAATATGTAATGTAAAATACATTAAATAAAATTTAAAATAACTTAAACCTGGTAAAAAAGTTATAAAAAACTATATTATATATAATAATAAACTATAATAACTCAAATATAATATAATAATATAATAAATATAATAGTATTTAATATATTATTATTATTATATTTAACTCAAATATAGGTGTCGCGTTGCTTATATTTCGTCTAAAATATTTTTCAGAATCTTTATCGACTTATTATTATTACTATTATATCATTTTATTTTATTTATTTTAAATTGCATAAAAGAATAAATAAAATATGCACAATCAATATGCGTGACAAATTTTAAATAATAAAACTCAGCGCTATTGTATAGAACAAAATGTGAGTCAAATGCATATTACATGATATGTGCATATTATGCTAATTTATTATTTTATCGACTTTTGTGAAATATTTTAGTGTTTGACGAGAAAAAAATACTTGTTGTTGTGGCTCGTTACTTAACTGGCTTACAGGTATCAATTTCGAGTTGATATATTACCTGTTTTAAAAATGTAAAATAAAATCGATTAAAATATTTTCAACGGTTTTTTTTTCGTTGCAATGACAAAGAAACCTTCAGTTGAAAATATGCGAAAAAATGTATACCTATACCTTATTAAAAGACATAACACCCCGTCTTATCACCTCTACTGGTGACAGGAGGGCTGGAGCATTTTTCGCCCAAAGAATCGGCATTGCCATTCAACGGGGGAATGCGGCTAGCATTCTTGCCACTATTCCACGCGGACATGACTTGTACAGTAATAACTAAGTGTACATATGTTTGTATATTTGTAATTTTATTTTTTGTATCTATTATATGTATGTACATATATGCTTAAAATGATCCCATTTCTACGTTTTATCTTCTAAGGCCATATCTGTATTGCAACGAATAAAAAGTAATTGCACTTGCTCCTTCCGGATTATTGTTATAGCAACAACTTTGTGAACTTGTATTGCCACGCCAGTTCGCAACTTTGCCTGAACACGTAGCTGGAATATTTTTAGTGTTCCTACTTACGAAGATTGAGTACAATTTTTGAAATTGAATTATTTCTTTGCTATTTGTTATACGTAATAGGACTTAGAAGCTTAACATAAGCGAATGCTAAGGCCTGATTATGTAATCTATACTATAATATTATAAAGAGGTAAAGTTTGTGAGTTTGTGACGTTGTAGGGGGTAATCTCTGGATCTACTAAACCGATTTAGATGAAATGTGGTAAGAAGATAGTTTGAGACCCTGGAAAGGACATAGAATACTTTTTATCCCGGAAATCATCCCTTATGGGGGTGAAAATGGAAGTGAAAGTTTGTATGGGGAATCAAGTAACAAGGGACGATCCCGAGCGAAGCGAGGGTGAGTCGCTAGTGTTTAATAAAGGAAAGGTATAAGTCATGGGGACATTGATGATGATTGATGTTCTCCCGACCGATTCCGGCCACGGCGGCCAATCTCATTGAGACTAGCCAACTGCGCAGGAGATATTATAGTGCACAAGTGTACGCGCAGACACAAGTGCACTCTCTATTCCTGTCACTCTCATATTCCGGTGGGACGACGCGAGACACGACCAGTGAGAGTTAAGGCGCAGGACCGACGGCTTTACGTGCTCTCCGAGGCACGGGGGTGAAACACCGCCAACTTCCCCACTCCGGGCTGTTACTGAGGCTTACTTATACAGAAAGACTCAATAACTAAACTTGGCCCGACCCGGGACTCGAACCCAGGACCTCCGGGTGTGCAGCCGTACATGCTAGCCACTACACCGCGGAGGCAGTTAATGGGGACATTATTATATGAATAAAATAAACTATTCATACATATTATACAAGTTTGAACGTACCTAGATTATTTGCGATAATTAAAAAAATACATTTAAAAAGTTTTGCATTTGAGCTTCTAGATTACGTGGTCACAATATGTCATAACATAACTATTTTTTTATTAGTTTTATATTAGATATTCATTAATAAAAGTTATCTTGGTTAAAGGCCTATTTGTATTCAGCTCTTTTTAACGTCGAACTGCTGGGCACGGGCCTCCCTTCAGTACAAGGGGTGAGTCTATTTATATGTGAGTTTATTTATGCTCACCGTAGATTGGAGCTTGATGCGCTGAACGCATATCGTGTGCGTTTATTGATTGCGCTGTTAAATTAAAAAGGGTATGTGTATATTACGTGTCAAAAAACCCGCCCACGATGAATCATGAACGTACGAGTTCGTCAGCTGCGCATATTTTGTGCTGATAAATTTAAAACGTGCAGATTACTTGTGATATCGTATCGATAAAAAGGCGTAACAGCGCCGACAGCGCGCTCATTGCGCGCAGAATGCGCCTTGAAAGCGCATTAAAAAGTCATCATTTTCTTGTTTAAGAGCAGGCTAGAAATAAAACACTTATTTTGGTGACTACTTCATACTTTTAAAACTGATATACCTATAGGTAAAAAAACTGATATACCTATAGGTAAAAAAGTTATGCTTTATTAGTTTGATTAAATAATAATATGATAGTAGGAGTTGTAAATAAATATTTTTATGTAGGAATATAGCGTCCTATATATTTTAAATGTCTAAACGTCTCAATCAAATAAAAAGAGACGCAGCGTACCATTTTTAGTTATATATAAATATAAAATTTTGACAGCTCGTTTGGCTCAGTTTGTAGTAACCCTGCTTGCTGTGCCAGAGGTCGCGGGTTCGAGTCCCGCTGGGGGCATTCATTTGTGTGATGAGCACGAATGTTTGTACTTCAGTCATGGGTGTTTATATTTATAATATGTATGTATTTAAAATTATGTATATGTAGTGTATTAACTATCTGGTATCCATAACACAAGCCTCGTAGCTTACCATGGAACTAGATGGTGCTGTGTGTTAATGTCCTAACATATTTATTTATTTATTAACATAAGAATACAAAACAACAGTACTACCAAAGCCGTACATAAATGAAATCTCATGCATATTTATAATAACAACTCAACGTTACTACGCCGCAATCAAATATCCACGTTTGTAACATTGGTAATATGGAATCGTAAATTACCGAAAGTACGTCGTGCGCTTCTAAGTCCGTAAATAGGGCTGCTTTCAGCATAGTTTAAAAAAAATAAGTCAATTAGTATCATTTAGATAATATACGTGTTAAATATTTAAATATTAACAGAAATTTTGTAAATAATTATAAATTACATGAAATAAAACGAAATATATTATTTATTATACAATGATAATACCAACTTATCTTTCATTATCATTTCCTATATTTGGGAAATTAAAAAAAAAATGTATTACTTGTCGAGGAGGCATCCCTAGTAGCAACAGCTGTCACAGATTGCCGTACAATGAACTGAATATTCTAGCGAGTGTAAGAGCGCGTGTACACTGTTTTAATTAGTTCATATTTGCTACGTAAATTCCGAATTAAGTTCACTGCATAGGTAACATTAAATGCTTAAACCTAACAAAGCATTATACAGAATGCATTTAATTTTAATTAATCATGAGAATATATTGTTACTAATGGTAACGTAACAATTTATAGGAGTATACGTAGGACCATGTTTAAGGTTACCGAATTAATGGAAGAAATCATATTTATAATTTTTTTTAATTAATGAACTGAAAAATGTGAGCAATGACGACACGTTTGGCTTAGTTTGTAGTACATTACTTGCTGTACCAGCGGTCGCGGGTTTGAGTCCCGCTGGGGACATTCTCTTGTGTGATGAGCACGAAGGTTTGTACTCCAGTCATGGTGTATAGATTTATAATATGTATGTATTTGAAGTTATATATTATGTATAGTGTATCCACTAGCCTCGTAGTTTACCATGGAACTAAATGATGCTGTGTCAATGTCACAACATATTTATTTATTTATTTAATGTAGTAAATAAGTAAACATGCAGGTTATGCTCAAAAACCGAAAGCGTTCATCGAACGAAAAAAGCGTTTACAACGCGTTATGACTAATTCAAAGCAGTCACAACAAGAAATTCGCGACATGTCTCTCACTATTGACCAGAAAACGTTGCGGATATCAAGAAATGAATTTTATAAATAAAATCAATTTTAAAATATTTACTAACTGATATTAAAATATATATAAATATTATAAAATGTAAACCTATTTGTCCCCTGTAGGTAAATAAAACTAGCGACCTCCAAAAAACTTCTTTTAATATTAAATATTTACAGTAAAATTTTGATTACGTCTAATGACAAGTTCTACCTTGGCTGGCCTTGGAAAAAACGTTTTAAATATTTCAGTCATTTATAATATTTTATTAAAAATTATAGGCTTTAAAGGATTTTCAATTCAAAAGCAAGGACGAGACAGATCGACGCACTGTTATATTACGACGGAGTTTTTGGTTCGCCGGCGTGTCAAGGAACGCTGTTGTTGTGGTCATCGCATCTGTGATTGCATTCTTCGTACACGAAGATAAGGATGCTCCTTTACTACTTACTGGTGAGTACTTTTTAATTTGTTTTTTTAGGAGTTGGAAAAATTTAAGTGTTTTTATATATTACTCGTATAGGTAAAAAATTAGATTGACTTTCTATGTTATTTACAATATATGAATATAATTATCTAATTATTGTAATATTTCTTTATCAGTGAAAATTTATAGAAGCATAGAAAATATGTATTTTGTATCGATTCAAACTTTATATTTTTGAAAACAAATACAATTAGTAAATTATTATGTAAGTACACATGTAAGTTTTGTCAAATAAATGTACTTTCTAACAATGCATACGTTACAGACTAACCGACTAACAGACATTTATTATATATTAAAAAAGCTAATAATATTTAAAATATATAAATAAAACAAAATATTTATAAAACACTTCTCTTAAAAATATAAGCTTGGTAACGTCATATAGAAGTCCGCACTTGTACTAAAATATTGGCTCGTATTGCATTCAAAACGTTAAAAAGGTCGCCACATCGAAACTGCTTGCACTATATCTGTGTGTTTCGAAAATATCAAAGAATGTTTTCTAAATAAAATTTTCATGCTATATTTTGGGAAATTTATTTTTTTATTGTTTAAATTACAATTTTAGTATGACTTTATAGTTTATATGAAAAAAAATATTAAATTTAACAAATACCGAGCAAGTTCGAAATAAAAAAGCTCGAAAATATAAATTAAACTTTAAAAGTTATGTAAAAAGAAACTTAAAAAATACCAAGCCCAAGTACAACAAACTATAAGTACACGCCATAGCCAGAGTCCAAGAGGAAGCAGATGATATAAACGATATAATAGACTTAGGCAATAATAAGGCGGAAATAACAATTTATCAACAAAAGTGTGACGCTTCGGCGATTTAGTGCTAGTGTGTTTATGGCTTTATTTAAGGACAAAAATTAATGTTACATTCCATAAAAGGTAATGTTATGAGCTATGAACCACACAAATGAGGTTGTAACAATTTTTCCTCTATAAATTTTCCGTCTAGTCTTTGTACTGTATCATTTCATTCGAATGGACAATGTAAACGTATATATATATATATTATAAACAAAATATTTATGACATGCAGTGTCATATATTATTTTACATTCATATGCGTGTATTACCTTTTAATTACTACAAACAAAGAAATAATAATAAAATTAATGAAATTAACTGAAAAAATAAATAAATTTAGATTTTTCTACCTAATATTAAACAAGCAGATTTTTGCCGCTACATACGGCACTATTCAGCTTGCTTTCTACTCGTATCCTTCCACTTTATATTTATGCAAAATCTTGAAATATTACTGCATTTTTAGTTTTGTATAAGAAAAATGCCAACCAGATGTTAAAATATATTTACTGCTCGATTCAAGTGTCGTTGCAGTGCGCTGTCACATTACTGTGATATATTTTGTTCACATTTTGCGAACTTTATACTTGTTTCTGTATACCAAAGTTACGTGACTGATACTCTCTATTACAATTTTTAATATTGTTTAATACATTTTTTATTTTTTCTCTCAACGCGGAAATGTTTATTGAATGTCAATACTAGATTTTCCTTAGTTTCAAGTACAATGCTTAGTTAATTAAAATTCTATTGGCATTATGATATTTATGATGAAATATTAATACGATATAAAGGAATGCAACGTTGTTAACATATTGATTCATATAATCGTTTAATGATACTTTAAAATATGCAATAGTTATTACGATTAAAAACTTTTTTAGTTACTTTGGTTTTATTTAGTTACTAAACGTCTACAAATTAAATTTCATTTTACCATCGTCAGAGCCAGTATTTCTTGTACCTATATTTAGGTGGCATTTTAACATTTAGGTGACCCCTAACAGTCAGTGAAACAGAAACTCTCCCCTAACAGCCCCCTAACCATGCTTAGGGGATCCCTTAAACTTACGTGACGTTCGTGAAATCGGGCATACGTCTCGTAAATAATTTTAATACGAACATAAGTATTGAACACGTTATAGGCACATTTTATTATACTTATTTTAACAATTAGGCAGTAGAAATTTTATTTCTATTTTGAAGCTGAACTGTGGTCTTAATACATAGTTTTAATATAATTAATAAACGATAGATATTTTGAATTTTTATATTTTACTTTAAATTATTAATGGGTATATAGGTATTGTAATTAACTAGCTAAAAAAGAATGATATAACATACATTACACAGGAAGTTAAACATAATACTGAATAATATGTTATTATGTAATATATGTTAACGTTTGTAATTTTAGGTATATTTTAATTATTGAAATATTGCATGCTGTAAGGCTGAATTTGGCTGAACATTAAATATGTTATTATCAAAATCTAAATGTATGTACTAACCCAATTTCGCAATAAAGTGTTTGATTTGATTTGATTTATTTTTATACTTTATGACTGTGTAATCTAGATTGAAAAAAATCCAAATTTATTCGAAGGGTATCGATCGCTAAGCTTCATTACACACATTCGCATGCCAGTCGCAACTCGTAGCAATGTATGAGCCTTTGCCATTAGGCGAATATGGCTCAGTAATTCGTTATTCATTATTGTAACTAAAACGATAGAAATAAAGCTAACAGCTTTATTTTGATCATCGATAAAAATAAATTGTAATGCGATATCAAATCAAAATTCTGTTCCATATATGTAGTTACATAATTTTCATTAAACGCAATAAAATCATAAAAGTATTATCATTTGCTAATACGATGACAAAAAAAGTATTCGGAATTTTCATATTTGAATGAATTTTATCTTAGAAAACGCTTTCAGGTCCCTAGTGTTTCTTTGCAATATACTAAACTAATATCTCATGGGTATAGCTTGATATATTGGGATCAAAAATACCCCATAACATTCCGGCCCATAAACTATGTAATATCATGGCTGTTCCTCGTGGAAGAAGGAAAAACCAAGAAACACTTACATATTTATAATTTTAGTAAAGAGGTATTATTTTATTTCTAGGTAACATAACACCAGGTATACCTAAACCTCAACTGCCGCCATTTTACTCAATAGTTGGTAATACAACGGTGTACGCGGGGGAAATGTTCGCTCATCTCGGCTCTGGCCTGCTCGTCGTGCCATTAGTCGGTGTGATATCCAACGTTGCTATTGCGAAAGCGTTCTGTAAGTAAAGAAAATATTTATTTAATGCTAATTACTGTGTTGTTTTGCTCAACTTATTTAGACTTCAGCTATTAAAAATAAACCGCTTAAATAAGAGCGTGTATATAAAAAACATGAGTGTGTACTTATGTATGTACGCACGTAAGAAGTTATCATACTTCATTAGCCTAACAGAACAAAAATAGCCAAAGATTTCATCCCGTGTGTAACAACTCTCCGTTTGTAAACGGGATGCAGCTGACTTCATCATGTCGCTTTTTGGCTGTCGGTGTGCGCGCGCATCGTAAAAATTTTACTCTCATATTTTTTTTCAAACATGCCAAAGGAAGTATAACTTCAATAAAGGCTTTTTTATATTTGTAACTAGTCTTTACGTGCAGCTTTAGCCGCGACAATGGATAATTGGAATATTATCTGTACTTACACTAAGCAATTTTCCATATCAACTTTTATGACATTAAATGAAAAAGTGTAGGTAGTTAAACAATGTATATCATTTGAAATAGATCTTTAAGTAAAACCGATTGCAAACATAACAATACATAACATAATAATTCTAAATTGGGTGTATACCTTTGCAATAAATATTATTATTATTATGTTTTTACAATTTTGTTCTCCTAGATGACTAGGGTATAACCAATTATTGCGGGCAAATAGCCAAGCAAAAACTGGGTGGTTTTTTTTTATGTTTCAGTGATTTAAGAAAGATATCAGCCATGTAACTATATAAATAAAATAAGGTTATATAAATAAAATATTATAAATAAATAATAGTAATAAATAAATCTGCGAGTACAATCCTGTTAAAAATCCAAAACTGTAAGAAAGTTACCACCTATAAGGATAGGAATTTTCTTACAATTCGGCATGTATTTAAAATTGCGGCTTTTTGAAGAAGTATAAAAGTTGAGCGGTGGAGGCCTATGGTTTTCAGGCTAGTATGTAGAGTGTGTGGTATAACACCTGTAGTTGATAGGACTATTGGTATTGTGGTTACTGTTTGCACTTTCCATTGACTCCTAAGTTCTATGGATAGGTCCGTATATTTAGCTATTTTACTAGAATATGTTTGTGCAAGATTGTGTGTGTTGGGTATAGCAATATCTATAAAGAATACGGTGTTGTTAGTTTTGTCGAGAAGCAATATATCGGGTCTATTATAGTGTATGGTTTTGTCGGTAATGATTGTACGGTCCCAGTAAAGTTTGTAATTAGGAGATTCTAGAATAGTTTGAGGTGTGTACTTATAGTAAGGTGTTTTTTGTGCCTGTGTGATGAGTGAATATTTAAGTGCAAGTTGTTGATGTATGATGGCAGCGACTTGATCGTGCCGATGCTTGTAGTCAGTTTGGACTATGGACTTGCAGGCTCCAGTAATGTGCTGAATAGTTTCAGAACTACAGTGGCATCGCCTACATAAATCAGTCAACATGTTGGGCCTTCTAATAATATGTTTTTGGTAGTTACGGGTGTCTATTACCTGATCTTGAATGGCTACCATAAAGGCTTCCGTCTCCGGGAAGAGCTCTCCACGCCGCAGCCATGCGTTCGACGCATCTTTGTCGACGTATGTTTGACTTAGATCAGCTAGATGTCTTCCGTGAAGTGATTTTTGAGACCATGCTTCTATTTTCTGCTGCTTACTAACTGTATTTTGATTCAGTTGCACGTTTCTATCGTGTAAATTAAGCGGCGAATATTTCTTGTCTATTTCAGTTATGCATTTGTGGAGTTCAGAATTTTCAGCTTTTGAGTGAAAATAGTTACGAAGTTTGGTAATCAGATTGTTGTGTAGGTTGCGGATATCAATTAAGCCTATTCCTCCATTTTGACGCGGTAAAGTAAGACGTTGGATGCAAGATTTAGGGTGATGTTTTCTATGGGTAGTCATATGAGTGTTAATTATACGTTGTAATTTTGTTAAGTCGGTTTGAGACCAGTTTATTACGCCAAATGAGTAAGACAGGATTGGTATTGCATAAGTGTTTATGGCTTTAATGTTGTTTCGTGCATTTAATTGTGTTTTCAGAACCTGATTTAATCGTAGCTTAAATTTCTTGGTAAGTTCTAATTTAGTGTGTTTTTGTTTTATTTGTTTTGCTTGGTGAAATCCTAGATATTTGTAGGTGCTATTTTCGTCCATGGGATCTATTTGATCGCCTGTGTCTAGTGTGTACGTATTATGTTGTGTTTTTCCGCGGACAACTGAGTGTATTTTGCATTTATCAACTCCAAATTCCATACAAATGTCGGAAGAGAATGATTGTGTGATATCTGCTAGAGTTTCAAGGTCACTATAGTTTGATGCGTAGAGTTTGATGTCATCCATGTACATTAAGTGTGAAAGTGTGTGGTCTGTGTTATTACACTTCAGTTTAAATCCAATATTTGTGTCATTAAGTAGTTCTGATAGGGGGTTTAAAGCCAGGCAGAACCACAATGGGCTCAACGCATCCCCTTGAAAGATACCCCGGCGGATTTTGATCGGTTCCGTAGTTAATGATTTGTTATTGGCGGTCAACTTTAATCTTGTATTCCATTGAATCATGGCAGAGCTCAAGAACGTTATGAGGGTTGGATGAATTTTATATTGTTTTAATACATGGAGTAACCAGCTGTGAGGGACCGAGTCGAATGCTTTTTTAAAATCTATGTACATAGTGTGGATATTTCTATTCTGTGCCTGTTTCATAACTATTGCGTCTATTGTTAGTTGCTCTTTACATCCTTGGCTATTTTTTCTACATCCTTTCTGTTGCTCTACTAATATATTGTGTTGGTCTACATGTCCGTAAATTATAGCAATAACTTCCAGTAATTATTTTGTATATTGTTTGTAGGCAAGTTATTGGTCTGTAATTAGCTGGATTTTTGGTGTCCGATCCCTTTGGCACCATATGTGTAACTCCACGTGTTATAAATGTCGGCAATGTACTTGGTGACTGTATGAATTGATTTATGTGCTTGTGGATTAGCGAATGAGTGCAAGTTAGGTTTTTGTACCAGTAATTGTGTATGTTATCTGTGCCAGGTGCATTCCAGTTATGAGTACGCTTGATAATTTGAGTGATAATATCTAAGGGGATATTTTCGAAATCCATTTGAACTATATGTTTTTTTTGTTTCCCTTTGCATCCACACCGCATCCCTATTGTGCTGCGTTGGGGTTTCCCAAATATTTGACCAGAATTGTTGTAAATCTTCTAGTGATGGTGATTCAGTTGATTCTGCTGTGTTGTTTTGATGTCTGTTTGTTATATTCCTGTAAAATTGTTTTTCATTGGTAGTGAATGTGTAGTTTTGTTGTTTTCGTTTTGTGCAAGTTAAGTATCTCCTAAGTCTATTTGAAGTTGCATTTAATTTTTGTTTAAGTGTGTCTAAGAAGTGTTGTGGTTCTGTATTAGGTTCTTCATGTTGTGTGTGGGTTTTGTATTTAAGTTTTATTTCTTCGACTGTTTTGACTATACTTTGATTTCTATTCCCTGATATGTACTGTGTAAGTCTACCTATTTCTAATTTATATTTCCCTATTTTTCTTTCAATTCTTTTTTGCCATGATGGCTTATTTTTACTTGTACTATTTTTTTCACTAAAATTAAATTTTGTGCCATTGCAGAGGGCTGCTGTGAAAGCGGCTGTATATATTATAGTATGTATGGAGTTAAAGCTTATATTATTTATTAAATGCTTCGGAAGTATTTCATTATTCAAATGCTGGACTATCTATGAAAATTTACGAGACGATTTCTGTTTGGGAATATATGGTCTAGCTTCTGGGTTTGTGTTAATAAATCGGGTTAGTGCATTATTAAATTCTGTTTCAATATACTTCAATAATTCACTTGGGTGCCTTTCTGTCAAATTATCTTTAGTGCTTTGTGTCAGTGGATGTGTTAATTGTAGTGAGTCTAATTGAACAGATGTTAAATCAGCTGAGTTGTCTAATTGGATATGATAAGTAGCATCTCCTGTTGCAGTATTCTGATTTAAAATGGATTGAGTGTTAGTGACTAGTTTTTGTTCTATTTCTCTTCTTATTTCATTAATTCTATCAGTGTTTATACTCTTGTTATTAAATATTAATCTTCTTTGGTCTGCAATTCTTTGTTCTGTGAGGTGTGATAAGTGTGGGTGTCTGGCTATAAATAACTCGAACAAATTTTTTCGATAACCAATCTTATTGGTCTCTAGTTTGGTTACCTCAAAGTAGCACCTAACAATTTCTTCATTGAGTTCATTTGACCATCGCATTCTAGTGTTTGTCGGTGGAAGTTTATCGGTTGATTTGTTAGAACTCTGTGTTTGAAAACGATTTTCGGTTTTTAACAGGTTCATTACTTCATCTCTCATTTCGTCTAATGTACTTTGTGGTAATAGCTTCCTTCTTAATATCGCTCTTCGCTGATCACCTATACGCTGTCGTGTTACTTGCATTTCGGGGAATTTAGTGTTGAATTCTTGGTGTAGTGGTTCCCAATAATTATTCATTAGTATAGTTTCACATTTTGTTATGTTAAGATATGTGCGCCATATGAAGCGGTTCATATTTTCTGTCAATTTTTTTCGCGCACCTGCCTCCTGCACAACAGCTGTTGGCCTTGTTTGTGATGAATATAAAGATGATGGTGATGAATTGGATGAGTGAAATAGAGTATGAGTGGAAGAAGGTGACGGTATATTTGTGAAGAGAGAATGATTTGATGAGGAAGGAGATAATGAAGGTGATTGGTCGGCTGTAGCATTTTGTTCGAGGGGAACCCGCCTGCTCAGTCCCCCGTCGCCAACGGTTCGCATGCTGTAGCATCCAGCGTCGGCTCCAGATGCGCCCCGGCGACCCCCGGGTAGCGGCCGTAAACTATATCTCTTATTTTCCATGTTCTCCATTAAAGGGTTACCATAGCCATGTTAGCCGTGCCAGTAATATATTGTCACGTGTCCGCCCCCTACGTGAATCAGATGGTCGATTCGGACGTATGGTTGGATTTTAGGGGGCTTAT